GCACAATTGGAGATGCTCAGCCGGAGCTCATCAAGATCCTCCTGTTGCAGATTGGATTACATATCGTCAGGATCTACAGACTATTCCAACGGAACTTCTGTGGAGACATTGAAACGGCATGGAAACATTTTCAACAGAACCAAAAATTCAGGATGGACCTGGACTCAAGGACACCTTACCTGGGCGAGGATGAAAATGGTGAACTCATTGAACCAACTGCACAACAGATGAAAGAGCTCTACAAAGATATCGGCCGACCAAATCAAAGAGATGACATTGGGGAAGAGGGATTTGTCAATGCATACTATGGGGCGGTGGTACTCAAAAGACTTCTCGTATATACCCTTGAATGTGGCTACACGTATGATGACTTGCAAAACATCTTCTTTGATGAGGAGATGGAGAAGCTGTCGAAGCGTGACACAACAATGGATGAGATGAGAAAGACCACAGCGGCCCGCGACGCCCTTGACCGACAAGACGTCATGGTCAGAAGAATCATTGCAGGTGCATATAGGGTAAATGCTGTTTATTTCTTCAGGAACGTTGACTTTCAAGACACAATCACACTGAACCCAGTTGACATTGTGTGTGCTCTTCGTCCACCACTTCGAAGAATATCACTTTTACACCTGATCCTACAGAATGGCCGACAATTGCCACGACCTCTACTCCAAAAGCTGTATGATGCGATCGATGACTACAATCACATTAAGCAACGGGAAGATCAACGACCAAGATGGGGCATCCACTTGTCTGAAGCTCACATACTTGCGATTGCTGATACCCCGACTCCTGCTGATCGTGAACGTGCTAATCCAGCCGCTGGCAAGTCGAAAGCAGCCCCGAAAGCAGCACCAGCACTGGGAAGAGTGTCGAAAGCGAAAGCATCATCGTCAGCGACATGGAGAACAGTTGAAACCGCTCCTCAGCCAAAACAAGCTCCAGTGACCCCGCCAAAGAAGGGTGGAAAAGACCAAGGAAAAGGTGGAAGATCTTATTCACACCGTGGTGGAGACTGGAACCAACAGGGATACTATGGATGGGGATATAGATGATTAAGCGATCTGACCTCTGCATAGGTCCTGATGGAACCTGGCGATGCGAGGATGCAATCATTGCTCGAGATTTACCTCTACTTCATTTCGAATGATTTCTGAGAGGACTCTGAGCCGGCTAATTTAGGACCACACATTTATTTTTTTGAACATCATTGCGTGAGACGCTGAGTTTCTACAGCGGTCTACATCTCAACCGACGAAGGAACGGGAAGGTAAACTTCTAGTTCCTGATTCATCTTTGTGTTTTGATTTTATTTGTAAGTCACATGCTTGAGTGGGATTCCATGCTGGCTACGCCACATCGGATGAACCTCAACGCTAGACACTGACTACGTCGTGTCTACATGCACGTGAACAGAACCTTTATTTTTTGGTAGAGATCGTAGCAAGCCGCCGTGTAGATTGGAAGTTCTGAAACGGACTTTAGCTCTCCATAATTCAATAAATGAACAGCTGCAAGTGTAGTGGATCAATTTAAAGGACACTCCTTTGCGCGTAGCCAACCAAGTTGGCTACGCGTGGGGGGTGCGAATAGAGTGTAGGCTACGTACGATTGTATATCCACATATAATTCGACACTCTAGGATCCATTGCCAAGGGGGTACATCAAATCGCCCCTTTGGCTCAAGACCCACTGCAGTACCGGAAAAGAGCAAAGCCATGCGGAAGCCGCTATTCACTTGTCATCGCCATTGAAGACGACTCCTTCAAGAACCAACATCAATACATAGTCGGAGTGACAACCTCCGATTCACATTATATATATATATATGCAGTCCCCATGAATATCCCACAAAATTCCAATTCTCCTTGCTGTGAATGGAATTTCCCCAGGTGGCAGCCGGAGCAAGGTGAGCGGCATTGGGACATGGTCCAGCGGGACGTGCGATTTAGACCGACATTGAGACGGTTTTTGGCTATTTCATCGTCGATTTTACCCTCTGGTTATTTAACATAGCCATGGAAAATTGCTTATTTATAGATGATTTTCCCAGCGAACGAAACCTCCATTTACAAGGGATTTTCCATGGCTATGTTATATAAATAACCAGATGGTACCTAGTGTGGATGGACCAAATCATGCAGCAGTTGGTAACTATGAAGGTATCTACGAATCATTGTCAATATTGGGATTATTGGTATGTTTTTGGATGGGACGTTTGCACCCTCTGCAGGATTTTTCCATCCACAGTAGCTATGGTAATTCTCGAACTATATAAAATATGGGAAAAAATAAATATATATATATATATATATGGGAAATCCACTGATATAAATGGCACTGTCCTAAAGTGGTGGTACCCCAAAACCATAGCTTTCAATACAACAAACAACTGCTTGGTGGTTTGGAACATGAGTTTTATTTTTCCATATATTAGGAATGTCATCATCCCAACTGATTAATATTTTTCAGAGGAGGCATACCACCAACATCCACCAACCAGATTGATTTCTATGAAAATTAAACATTGAAAAAAACAAACTATTCACCATTAACATCCATTAACCATTGCTAACCATTGACAATTGTTGGTTGGAAGCATTTGGACATGGCTTCGTTGGATGATGCGGGGGGTGAGCCAAACTGCTGGGAACGTTGATGACGACTTGCCCCTTTTTAAAAGGACCTACAGGTTTTCAGGGTTTTAATATGTTTTAATAGTCGTTTGGAAAGTTAGAAAATCCAGATTCAAGTGTTGCAGCTCCGACTTTCGCAAGTCAAGGAAAATGTTCATATATGTAGTATGTCCACCCAAAATGGGCTACTAAATGGTGCTAGTGCCCTCTCAATCAGTCATGTTACAGGTTCATGTTTTGTAAGCCATGCCCATGTTGATGGTGATCCACCCTACTATGTTAGAAGTACGACACCCTAGCTCTTTTGGCCTTTCATGGCACTGGATTATTGCCAATGTCTGACGAATTGGTTCAATATCATCATTTGTGCATCATGACTGAATGTATCAAGTTCTAGGTGCATATCAAGTTCCTCCATGTGAGGATACAGAAAGAAATCAACCAACCAAACGATGTCATGTTCCTCTGTGTTTGCTCTCTCTCTCTCTCTCACTCAATATAAAGATATAGCAGATATAGCCCGTCGAAGCATCTATTCTGTAGTGCCCAGAGTCAAGGCCAACGGCATGTGGCCCCATGGGGTAAGTGGGTTATACACGTGGGTCTAATATCCCTTGGAACCAAACAAAAAAAAGGCCCACGGTGAGCGAGTTCTCTAACTCATGACTGGGTTTTACCCGTTATGTAATACATGTATGTGTAGTCATCCCTCATCGAAAAAGTAAGTCCTTACGAATTTGGGAGTGATTTACTGTTCCATCTTTTTTGGGACGACATTTGCCCAGTGAATTCTATGGGGTTTCCCATGAAGAGTCACGAGGCAAGTAACTCCATGGCCCATGAGCCAATCCTGGTTGAACTAGCTACGTCAGACGTATGGTTTATGATGGGCACATCAATTGAGTATTCATGGCGCAGTCTATGAACCAACGATTTTTCACTGGGGGGGTCCACTTTGCACCGTGATGCAAAAGCCTCGTGGCTATTTCCGTCATTTTGGGGAATCGAAAAAGATCATTTCGGAGACCCTTAAGCAAATCCAAGTATATGACAGCAAAACTTACAACCTGGGTTTGTGTTGACGGTTGAGCAAGCGAAATGGTGAAATGCGGGACTTCATTTGGAGAGGCAAAAGGAATACAGAAATCGCAATCGATTTTCATGAAATACACAGATCATACACGGCGCACCAAACAATAGAGAAAAACAATCGACATGGAACATCATGCAACAGGCTAATTGCCATTCCCAACAGGACAGTTTTTGAATACCAATCCATTTGCTTGCTTCTTTGTCTTCATATTGGTTATCAGGCTCTAGCAGAGCTGTTGAGCTGTTATTTAAAGTCTTCTTTTATGGTCCACCGCAACGGATGCTACAGGCAACAGACAATGTCACGCCTTGCGGAAGAAACACAGAAATGAACGCAGAGAACTTACTGCAAGAAGTCGTTTTTCTACCCACGAACAACACAGGTTACCTCTGACTGAGTTTGGGGCGATTTCCTGCAGCGTGTTCCGGCGCTGTTGTTGTCCAATCCGGCGCCGTGTTTTCTGTAACACCAACAGCAGTCACACACAGCGGCACCAATGAGAAAATTGAGTCGCAAAAAAATGATTTTTTGTTGCACAAAACTGATTTTGCGGGTTTGTTTTAGGTCTTTTTAGGGTTCACTGGTTTTTTCACGGCCTTTTCACAGCCTTTTCTCACGGCGTCACTATTTTCGCAAATCTCGAATGTGCGCCCTCGATTTTTCAATCATGGGATATCTTTGGGGGTGGGACCTTGCTCGGCTAAGTCTCACAAAAATACGACATAAATCATCAGGCCTGCTGGAGAATCATTCCTTCTTTAGAACATGCCGAGTTTGAGGACTTGGACCGACATGTCATGACACCAAAAGAGACGTTAACCCCCAAAGTTTGCCCCGGTGGGCATGATGACTGCGGGGCCCTAGGCATGACTTCGTTTCTCTACGCAACCTGAAGCCTCCTTTTTGTTCAAAATATGGTGTGCAAAAATTGAATTTTGACCGTTCGTTTTCCTGGAAACCGGACAGTTTTACTCAAAACCGTTCAAATTGGACAAATCGGCCAAAAGTTCAATTCTTGGGTTGTTGAATCCCAACTTTGGCTTGAATGCGTGAGCCAGCTTTAGCCCCAGGCAATACCAGCATGATCCAGTCTAAAGTTGCAGTTATCAACCAATGTACGCTGGAAAAAGATGATTTCATTGATAGGGTACCCCATTCTCATGGTTGACCACCACTTTAATCTAATCCGTGTGTGATGATGATGTTCATCATGCAGTGCTACTTACTTGCATCAGAGCAAGAGCTAGTGATTCCTTCCACACGGGAGGATGTGCTGGAAGACTTCGACCGTCAGCTTGCTGAAGTCTTTCCACCCTGAAACCTTTAGGAAGGGATATGGATGACTAAATCTGCGTGCTTTTGTTTGCTTTACCCTTTTTTAGGGAAAACACAACTTAGAAAAAAACGTCCAGAATTATGCGCCAAAAAATGTACAAATATGCGCAAAAAAACTGCAAATATGCGCAGAAATCCACAAATCGGGATTTGTTCGTTTTCTGGATTCCTTTGTTTCAAGTCATTCTGTCCTAATTCCGTGGGTTGAGGGCTCTACCTTCAATAACCTTCAATCGTTGGTGCAAGCGGGACAAATTCTGCAATGGGAAAGCATTCGGAAGGACAATACCTTTGCAATGTGTGCTTTTCAGGCTCAAATTGGTTTTGAAGCTGTCAGCTTCAAAATGCAACTGTTTTACTGTAAATTCAGCGCCTGTTGTCTCTATAGACCTGCTTTGGAGGGCTCTGAGTACCACTACTCAATTAAATGTCTATGGAGATCAATAACTTTGGGGAACAGTAGGCAGGCAGGTGAGATATGATAAAATTGGTTTGTGGTCACATTCCCCGTTCAATTTTTGCTGTTTTCCCCAAAACCGTTCAAACAGGACATATGGGCAAGAAATTCAAAAGTTCAAACTATATTGTATTTTGGAGGGTCCTACGAGATAATGATCAAAAAGTTCATTCAAATGCGCACGCACATCCATATCCACGTTTACTCACGTCTCGCTGCAAACACTCAAGAAGAAGACGCCCGTTGCACCCGAAATTTTGCTGCCCAACAGAGATTTGCGCCATACTCCCTCGGCAGGACGATGACCCTTGTGCTGAGGGAACTGCTCAATACTTCAGCAACTCGGCGGGCTGGGCCCTCCACCACTGATGTAAGGACTCAAGGTTGTTAGATGGGAGTGTTAGAGAAATATATAAATTTCAAGGTTTGGTTGCTGACCGCTTTGGTGTCAGTTAAAAGTTGGTGTGTTTTTTGGGGGACAGGGGAAGGACCTGGCTGGTGTACTTTTAGTGGGACTTGGTCGCTTCATTGTGGAAAAAGCCCAGTAACCCATGATGGCGATGCCCCTGTTCCCATGAACAGCGGTTCTTAAACCCAAAGACACATGAAGACATGCGCGCACGTAAATACATTGACCATGCTGGTAGCCCAGATCCCAGAAAAGAAAACACCGAAGACGCGCAAGATGTAAAGTATGACCGCATTTTTCTTTCCTATATTCCCACATGCATCTGATAGACCAAACAGTTTCTCACGGGGTTCACGTTATAGTTTGGTTCTAGATCAACCGATAGGGTTTTGCCCCCTCATGTGTGTTGGGTCAGGTGGAGTCACCCAGTCGAAAATATCATGTACAAGTATTTGTCAATTTGCCGCCATTTTTTCTCCAGCGACTAGAACGCTACCACCATAAATGTTTCAGTTTTGGAAAATCTTTGCTTTTGAACTTATCTTTTTGATATAGAATTGACAAGTATTCATCGCCAACCTTGGATGTGTACTTAACCCTTTAGTTTGTTGCTATAAATGAAAAAAACATGAGCAGCCAACAAAAAAGTGGTGGATTACCAGAGACTGATCACGATATCTTTGGCGAATATCGGGTCGTTATTCCAATTGCCCTAAATGCCGAACAAATTCCAAGAGGGCCCTATCAGAAGCGCGGCCAAGGAACATCGCTGAGTGCCCTTTTTTTGGGCACCGACGACCAGCCAGCGCTGCTGAATGTTGCTGGGCATCGATTCGCGCATCTAAATGTTGATGGTTGGGAGCGTCCATAGGCCTTGGATTTCAAGACTCAACGGTTTCAAAGTATTGAGAATCATGAAACATGGTTCCGAAAATGTTGTGAGAAAAAATGGGGACTGCATGTTTGGACACGGAAAATACACCAGATCCATCAACGGCGTCAACCCGTAAGTCAAACACGCAGGTTTTTGCAGTGGTCAAATTTTAAGGGCTTTCCAACAAATTTGTCATCGAAAAATTATGCCCGTCAAAGTGAAACATGTGTTCAAATCGGTGGGTGGTTGATGATCAAGAAAGGCTTCACTAATTCACAGACTATTTATCACTCACAGCCTGTGAGCCTTCTTTTGCTCTGGTAGCTGCAGGGACACTTGGAAGCTCAGTTCCACTTAACTAAGTGAATGAATGTAACCATAAGTTTAGGGATTAAACCCAACTTATGGAGTTTAGTTCACCATGGCTACACATTTTTCAGTTATACCCTTAAAAGTTTCGCCTCAGTCCTGTAACCCCAAGTAATGGTTACTAATGGTGACTAGAGATTACTAATGGTTGCTAATGTTTTGTCCTGATTTATACCCTCGTGAAGTTTGGGTCTCAAAAAAAAGCATCCCCAGAAAAAAATACGATCCCGCATTTAAGTAAGGATTGCAATTGGCGACAATTGAAATCTATTAATTATTAACACTTTCTTTTGCCGATGAACTTGTGATATTTGCAGTACTTGTAGTACCTTGTAGTGGGTGGGGTTCAGCATGTTGATTGCGTTACCTTTTCCACCTTATTGTGTTTATGCAAAGTGTAGTAAGAGAAAGACAAAGAAAAAGAGAAAGGGACAGAGAGAAAGAGAAAGAGAGAGAGAGAGGGGAAGAGGAAGAGGAAGAGGAAGAGGAAGAAGAAGAGGGAGAGGAACAGGAACAGGAACAGAGAGAGAGAGAGAGAGATGAAGAGGAAGAGGAAGAGGAAGAGGAAAATAAAGAGAACAATAATGTAAAAGGTGTTTCTTTCTTCACTCTTGGCTTCAGGATCAGCTCTGGAAAAAAATGCTGCGCTTGTGAACCCTGGGAACAAACCTAGTAAAGTGAACTGGGCCCTCTCATGGCCCAGTGCCTTGGAAATGTGTGGAAAAACTGTTCTTTACTAAGGGTTTAATAAGCGGCCTGATTCTTTTGGGAAAAGTTTGGGCGTTGAACTTTTCAATTGCTTTTGTAAAAGTATTTTCTTTCTTCTCTTGGCTCCAGGATCAGTTCTGGAAAAGCCTGCTGCAATTGTGAACCCTGGGAACAAACCTAGTAAAGTGAACTGGGCCCTCTCATGGCCCAGTGCCTTGGAAATTTGTGGAAAACCTGTTCTTTACTAAGGGTTTAATAAGCGGCCTGATTCTTTTGGGACAGGGAGACAAGCATGTTTTCAGATTTAAGTTTACGCATTTTTTTTTTGACGAAAAAAATGGTCTCCCAAGAATTTTTGCCACAATAGTGAACCTTCCAAACATTGCTGGGGCCCCGACTAATTTGGAGAATTTTGGCCACAATAGCGAACCTAGACACTAATCAGGATACACCATTTATGGTTACTAATGATCATTTCGTGGGACTCGGGAGGGATTTTATGGTGATGAATGAGGATTTCATCAACATTTTCCCAGCCGGATCGCGGAAGTTTCTGCCGAGAGGTCTTGCTGGTGTCTATCCCGTTGGCCTTCATGTCGAGATTCCTCGGCTGGAGTGAGGCTGGACCAGATGTGTTGAAACCTGCGGAAACGTTGAAAACTTGCAGTTGTAACTAAGGTGTTCCTATAAGTTGGTTGATGTTTCTTTGTTTTAGTTGATGATATCTATATTCTGTGTTCATTTCCCATTTGACGATTGTTGTTCCCAAGAAACAAGAACATGCTCACAGATATGTGTATACATCTGTTGTTAAGGGGGCCCTGACGTGAGAAGGACCCATGTTTTGCTTGCATACACAGTAGGGCGTTCTGCAGAAGATTTGAAATAAATAATATTATATGTTGACACTGAATTACCAGTTGTTCTTCCCTTGAATCAACCACATTGTATTTCCATTGTGGTTCTTTCCTTATATCAATCCACTGTCAGTCATTCTCGGTGAATATCCATTAGCTAGATCCACCATTAGTCTTCCAGAATATCCCCATTGAATTGGATGATTGTACAGCCCGCTTCTGGCAAAATTGGGATTATCTTTTCTTGAAACCAGCCGGCTAGCTCCCACCTAATATAGGAAAATAATAGCCATAAACGGAGGGATATATGTAGTTTGCCTCTATCTTTATCCAGTTTACGCCCTTGTATTTGGGGTGTTTGTCCTAGTGTAATCCCAACTTCATTCAAGTATAACGTTTAATGTTGGGCTCTGATTAGTGTGGACCCCCCTCCAACAATTTTAGTCTATTCAATATCTCGGCATTTTCTGCGCCCCCCCCTCAACAATTTTTAGGATAGTAAACTTAAGAATTTCAATTCACATCAATCTACTTTCAATTGATGTTCCTTTTAAACCTCCAAGAAATCTGTTGATAAGAAAGGAGTTCAATTGAAATCAGTTTGCTTTTAATTGATTTGAATCTACTTTCAATTGATTTTCCCTCAAAAAATGATAAGAAAGGCTTTCAATTGAAATCAATCTACGTTCAATTGCTTTTCCTTTTAAACTTCAAAAATATTTCTTGAAAAGAAAGGATTTCAATTGACACCAGTTTATTTTCAATTTCTTTGAAGCTACTTTCAATTGATTTTCCTTTTAAATCGATAAACAAATGCCCCAAAAGTTTGTGTGCACAATAGGGTACCATCGAAACAATTACATTATTGGCTCAAGTATAGGGGGCCTATACATGGGTGTAGGGAACTGTGAGAGTAGGACCCCCTTATTTGGATAATTCTGCTTTGAAGCTTTGGTGCTCTTTGTTTTCTGGGCCTAGCCCAGTCGTATGGTCCTTAGGAAACCTGAGTTACTCAGTTCTACTGAGGTTGAAGAACACCTCTGGGAATTGGTTGGCCCCGACCCGCCGGAGGAATCTAGACAGATGAGCCAAGGAGGCGCACCAAAGATTAGCAAGTTCAGCTTGGAAGACAGGAGAAAGTTGACTCATGAGCTACTCGCAAAAGCTCATGAGACAAATGCCGGTCCAAGTGGTCATCTTGGAGGTGGCCCAATTGTAGACAAAAGAGTGTCTGACCGTACAAGCATGAGACACCCGAGCATGAATTGCAAGATGTGGTCAACTACGAGAAAGAAACGAAACCTAGTGTGGCAGATCGGGTGGCCGGTTCAATCAGGAGGGCTCTGGAAACCACTAGAGAAGAAACAATTACATTATTGAGGATCTGTGTCACTCATGGGGTCCCCCTTGAAAAATTGCTTTGGTGCTGTTTTTTAAATAAGGGTTTCATAAGGCATCTAATCTATTTTTTTGGGAAACCTTGCATTTTCAAGGCTTTGACATGGATATGGCTTTCTAAAGTAAATGGACAAGCTTTACCCAAAGAAAGGCGGATAAAAGGTTTGTGTTTTTTCACCCCAAAAGTTTTTGTGCACAATAGGGTACCATCGAAACAATTACATTATTGAGGATCTGGGTCGCTCATGGGGTACCCCGTTGAAAAATTGTTTGGGTGCTGTGTTTTAAGGGTTTAATAAGGCATCATTTTTTTTTTGGGAAACCTTGCGTTTTCAAGGCTTTAATATGGATATGGCTGTCTAAAGTAAATGGACCAGCTTTACTTGAAAAATTGCTGTGGTGCTGTTTTTTTTTAATATGGGTGTAATACGATATATATCTGAGTTTTTTTGGGAAACCTTGCATTTTGGACCAGCTTTACCCAAACAAATGTGGATAAAATGTTTTTTTTTCACCTACAAAGTTTTAGTGCACAATAGGGTACCATCAAACAATTACATTACTGAGGATCTGGGTCACTCATGGGGTACCCCCTTGAAACATTGTTTGGGTGCTTTGTTTTAAGGGTTTAATAAGGCATCCATTTTTTTGGGGAAACCTTGCGTTTTCAAGGCTTTGTTATGGATATGGCTGTCTAAAGTAAATGGACCACACATGCAAATAAACACGTGTAATTAATTATTTTGTTCTTGGACATGTTTTATCTTTAAAAGAAAATGGATCTGAGAAAAAACTTCTCACAATAGAGCCTTCCCCCCACAATTAGCAAGACGCTCAATTAGGAAGAACAAAAAATCACAATAGGGTGCCATCACACTAAGAGGCTAACATTACCCCATTTTAATCCCGTGTAATGTATGTTCAAGTTAAGCTCTTAGCCATTTACAGTGCCTGGCATGTACCCCGAAGTGAAAGTGATTCATGATTGATCATCCAGATCGAATCCCAAATGGTTAATAACCCTAGTCAGGTCACCCGTTTACATGGGATCAAAACAGATTCTTAAACCTTGCCCCCTTCCCCTCCCAAAAAAAATCCCAGCGAATTATATGGGTTTGTATAAATCTCCCTATCATTTGATTGCTATAGATTGGGTAAACTCACCATTTTCAGACAGGCAGTTGGTTATATCATCCCAATCATATCATGGCTTTATTCCACCATTTCCGCTGGTATAGTCCACAATGATTTGTTCATCTAAACCAGACAATGATCAAACAGATTTGGCATAGTGTTAATCAGTATGTGTTAATTATATCCACATCATTAACTCCTTTACTCTTTATTTTGTCATGAAATAATTTATCCATGTGGCACATTGTATATCCCACATTGTAAGCTATGTCTCCATATCCTTGACGTATATTAATGATTGCAGGCCCAAAAACATCTTAACTTGGAGGCTAATAAAGTGTTCGAAAATTATACCAACATCAACAAAGCCCATGGTTTCTGCTAGTATATTCCCATAGTAGATCCCATATTAGTTGCAAAGTAAATCCCATAGATTACCATTCACATCCCCATATATCCCCATAAAATTCCATAAATGTGCCATTTTCATTATTCCTACAATCCCAAAACTCGAGCCATTTAAAATATCAGCCATTAAATTGATATCATATATATATATATATAAACCATATATAAATGGCTGATATTTAAATCATATGAAATCATATATTTGGTCATTAAATGTATATATAAACAATTTAATGGCTGATGATTTGGTTATATATTAAATACATTTAAATCATATGACCAAATCACAAAAATGGGGGTCTCCAGAAATAGGGATACTGTACCAAATCATGTCAACAGGATTTTCCAGAATAAACATGTATAAACAATATATATATATATGGATATAGTCATTGACATCCCCATGTTTTTTTGTTAAGCGGTGAGGCCTGGGTCTTCCTAAGCGCCTTGGTCGGCTTGATCCCTCTGGCCGAGCGCATCAGCTTCGTAACCGGGGCCGCACCAAAACGGAGTCGCATTGTTTTCATGGGATCTGAAAATGGATGTCATATGAGGGTTTCCATGGGAAAACCATGGAAAAATGGTGATTTATATGGAAAACCACCATTTTTAAGCTAAAATGGGAGGGTTTGCCTATTAAATGTATACCCCAATAGTTGGATGAAATGGGGGTACCCCAAGAGTTGGATGATCTTGGATGGTGTATACTGAAAACTCCGTTTTTGAGATGATTTGGTATCCCTATTTCTGGAAACCCCCATACTGTATATGATTTGGTCATATGATTTACCCGTAGAAGATGGTTTATCCGCGAGGATGCACTGTGCCTACCTCGCTCCGAAAAGCGCAGAGCCATTCACGGAATGAATGCTGTCGTGGTGACCATATTGCTCATGCTTAAAATATCTACGGGATGGTAGATAATATGGTTATTAATAGCTACAATATGATGGGAAGATAGATAATGGGGATATATATATAATATATACATATATATTATATATTATAAAATTGCATATTTCTGGGCAAATTATAACAAAGTCACTGTTCCCCCTCACTGGAGTTATGGTGAACATGGAAATCATCCCCAGCATGGCCTGGGAACTAATTTACCCAGAAATCATGGGTTTTGTCCAAAAGTTTGGCACACAACGGCACAATCCAACATGATGATTACCCTCTGGTAATTTAACATAGCTATTGAAAATCACCATTTTTAATGGGAAAATCCACTATGAATGGTCATTTTCAATAGCTACGTTAAATTACCAGAGGGTAAACCTTGGATTTTAGGGATGCTCAGTTTTCGGACAAAACGACCTGTCCAGACATGTGTTTTTCCCAGCAAAAGCTGTTGCTTGTCCAAACAACCGCAGGTTTTATGCGAGGGATACATCCCAGGAATCAAATGATCAGATGAAATCCAGTCAAAATATACTAGACATTTATATATATAGCCACTATTATATATGAAATACTCCAGTGAAATTGTATATTATAATTTGATATAATTTACCCACATGTGATTAGTGAACAATAATATATATATATATATATGGTAAATTATAATATTTCACTAAGATGAATTGTTGGCCCATGGCTGGGGATGATGTCCCTATAGAAAACCATGATTCCAGGGTTCGGGAGAACAGGGTTCGGTCGTTATAATTTACCAATATATACATATATATACTGTATATATATATATACACAGTTTACAGCCCAACAACGATCAAATCGATCAATGGCTTACATCAAGGGGTTACAAAATATATTTTATTCCTGGGATATCCAAATGTTTCGATGGGCCACAGTTTGATGATTTGTTCAGTAATGGGCTAGCCAGTTGTAATGGGATTTGACGTGATTTAACCCACTTAAGGATAACTAACACTGACAAACCTCCTGACAAGCCAACCTCATAACTAGTAATTAATAACTAATCAGATGTATATATGTTAAATCATCCTTGCAACCCCATGAATAAATACAATATTCTATAGCTATTACCCATAAATATAGTATTTTAGAAAAAGGGAAGTTTCCTAAAATAGTGGTACCTCCCAAATCATCCATGTTAGATTTGGATTTTCCCTGACATAAACCATCCATGAACTGGGGTACCCTCATTTATGGTAAAACAATAATAAACAATCCCCCAAATCACCATCTTTATAGGTGGTAGTTTTACCATTCCCAGTCATCTGTGGTCTATGGCATTTTTTAACCATATTACTCCAATTTATATCCCATTAAATCACTATATTCTGTGGATTTTAATAGTTAAATTTTAAATCATAATTGTTCATGGTCACTTTATAGTACTTATTATAACCACCATTTATGAAACCACCATTTTAATATGGCCATTTTCAATAGCTATGTCATACATGTTCAATTACCAGAGGGTATTATAGTCGTACTTAATGCCATGCCATTTATCCCCTGATCTTTGCCGAGCTCCACGGCTAGAGGTCACGGAAGATGTGGCGAAGTGCGCTGGGATGGAGAAGGAACTCGTTCCCAAAAAAACGGAACATTGGGATTATGAGTTCTATCCCCATTATTATATTATATTCCCATTATCTGAGCATTCTTGCTGGTTAAACCACTACGTTTGTTGCTTAAAAACCCGCACAAGGTGGTGCCCCCCAGTTATAAGTTAGTTTTAAACCATAGTAAGTATAGATATATCACATAAATCATAGTTATTGGAGTTATAAACCAACTTCGCTAACTATGGGGCGCCATCTTGTACGGTTTCAATTCTTGAGAAATAATATTTGCAAAAAATGTTAATAGTAAAGGAAAAGCATGTACAATAAAATAACTATACATAGGATACTGCTATATAATTATAAATAGCAAGATAATTATAATTATATACTATAACATGGGATTTTACTTTTTTACTGTATATATGGGAAACATATTTACAAGAGAATCATTGTAAGTGATGCATTTGTTCATCACTATTGGAGTCAATATTTACTTTTATGTTTGCGGGTTGCAACGGTCAATAATTATAGGTTATAGTTATGATTTTAAGATGACAATGGAGAATTTATATCCTCCTGCCAATTTCCACTACTAAATGCTATGACCTAGGTCCCGGAAAGTGAGCCAAAAATTTAGTGTGAAATTTCCAGAAACCATTTAGTAGAGAATCATGATTTTTCAAAAAAAAATCAAGTAAACATCTCTAGACCCATGATCCACATTTAGTAGTGAGGTAAAAATGATATGTTAATCATATGATGTCAAATGTTGTTTTTTGGGTAAAACCATTTAGTAGAGATGTCAAAAAAATGTTGCAAAATCACAGGAACCATTTAGTAGAGGTTGCGAAGTAGAGTTCATAAAACGGTCACAATGACACGAGACAAAACTGAAAAACCATTTAGTAGAGATTCCCATTCCGTTGCCCCCGATAGTCGTTTGGCCAATCCATGTCCATCAGGATGAATCACGTAAATCCAGATAGTATATGATAATAGATGCTCAAAAAAATAAGAAGCTTGAAAAATAAATATAAATTCTAGAATGCCAATGAATATCAAAGATATTCCTGGGTTGAAGTAAATCAACATGATCGGGTATACCGCGATATGAAACAACAGAAGTTGGACAAAGATAGCATCCTTGCGGTATCCTGCCATGCCGCCTCCAGTCTAGCCAAGTGCTGCCTCTACTAAATGGATGGTCATGGGATCAGTCTATCTAGAACTGTTTCAAACAAAGCCCTGTTGCATCCTTGTGTGCCCTATAATCCCTTACGCGCTATGCAACACCATTTTGTAGTCCCAAAATGTCCAAATTCTATCAAGATTTCCCCTGTCTAGCCAAGTGCTGCCTTGCCTTTTTTGGGGGCGATGCCAAATCCCTCGCTTGGGTGTTTCTTGCTCGTCGGGTGCTGCCTTTCGTGTTTGTTTTTTTTTGCGTTTTTTGGGGGGCGATGCCAAATCCCTCGCTTGGGTGTTTCTTGCTCGTCGGGTGCTGCCTTTCGTGCTTGGGTTCTTTTGTTGCCTTTTTTGGGGGGCGATGCCAAATCCCTCGCTTGGGTGTTTCTTGCTCGTCGGGTGCTGCCTTTCGTGTTGGGGTTCTTTTTTGGCCTTTTTTGGGGGCGATGCCAAATCCCTCGCTTGGGTGTTTCTTGCTCGTCGGGTGCTTACTAAATGGATGGTCATGGGATCAGTCTATCTAGAATTGTTTGAAACAAAGCCCTGTTGCATCCTTGTGTGCCCTATTATCCCTTACGTGCTATGGAACACCATTTTGTAGTCCCAAAATGTCCAAAATCTGTCAAGATTTCCCCGTCTAGCCAAGTGCTGCCTTGCCTTTTTTGGGGGGCGATGCCAAATCCCTCGCTTGGGTGTTTCTTGCTCGTCGGGTGCTGCCTTTCGTGCTTGCGTTCTTTTGTTGCCTTTTTTGGGGGCGATGCCAAATCCCTCGCTTGGGTGTTTCTTGCTCGTCGGGTGCTGCCTTTCGTGTTGGGGTTCTTTTTTGGCCTTTTTTGGGGGCGATGCCAAATCCCTCGCTTGGGTGTTTCTTGCTCGTCGGGTGCTTACTAAATGGATGGTCATGGGATCAGTCTATCTAGAACTGTTTCAAACAAAGCCCTGTTGCATCCTTGTGTGCCCTATTATCCCTTACGTGCTATGGAACACCATTTTGTAGTCCCAAAATGTCCAAATTCTATCAAGATTTCCCCTGTCTAGCCAAGTGCTGCCTTGCCTTTTTTGGGGGCGATGCCAAATCCCTCGCTTGGGTGTTTCTTGCTCGTCGGGTGCTGCCTTTCGTGTTTGTTGTTTTTTTTTGCGTTTTTTGGGGGGCGATGCCAAATCCCTCGCTTGGGTGTTTCTTGCTCGTCGGGTGCTGCCTTTCGTGCTTGTTTTTTTTTGCGTTTTTTGGGGGGCGATGCCAAATCTAAATGGATGGTCATGGGATCAGTCATATGTGTTTCATGTTGTTTTCTCTACTAAATGGACCCCGTGTATTTCTCTACTAAATGGCTTTGGGGTTTTGGTCGAGTGATGTTGGTCCCGCAACTTGTGCTCAAATGAGTACTTCTACTAAATGGAACAGGGTGTTTGGTCGAGTCATGTTGGCGTCTTAAGACACTCTGAAAATATATCCAAATTTTGCGCTTCAGCTGAACCAGGGGCCCACATTTAGTAGTGAAATTCGATCATGCATGCACATCCATTTAGTAGAGCTTGGGGCTATGCAGGCCGCTTCTTCACTACAAAATGGTTGCACAGCCCCAACCCTTAATTGACAGGGGGTTGAATTTATGGGGATCTTTTTCAGCCCTGGCGGATAAAGAGGGATTGACATGACGATATACCCTCTGGTAATTTGTTACATAGCTATAGGAAATCACAATTTGTGAGTTCGGTAAACCATCTGTTTTCATGGGCCATTGTCCATAGCTATGTTAAATAACCAGAGGGTAACCATTGTGCTGGAGATTTTTGTCAGATATAATGGAGGTTCTTGGTAGTTCATCTACAGTTGGCGTAGAAATCCAGATCTCATAACTGGACGTTTAAACCCTACAGGATGGGGACCCCCAGTTATGTTTGTTGTTGAACATGACCCCATCTAAATATCGTTGCAAGTATCATACACCAACTTGTTAGTATAGTTATTTGCACCAACTTAGCCTACTATAGGGCCCCATCCTGTACTTACTTTTCTAAAGTAGCAACGGCGAGATTTTCGCCACTTCACTGGCAATAAAGTTCAAGCTGCAGGGATGGAACCACCTAAGATCAGGTATTTACTATCAGCAGATCAACAGCAGATCAAGATTTGAAGATCTAAAGGATGAAGATATAAAAAGATCAAAACAGTTTCAGTATTTCAGTGGCCATTTGGTTCACTCTTTTTTTGGGGAACCACCGAACCATTTTCCTCAACCCAGGTGGATTCAAACAGCAGATCGGCCACAACGGCTAACGGTGACTGTCGCATACTGTCCAGAAATGTGTCAACTGACTATCATATTTTTTCACGATCACAGAATATCAAGAGATAAAAAACTTGTCATATGGAATGAGGAGTTATTTTTTTGTCATTAATTACTCATGTTAATTACTATTTACTATAAGATAATATCAATGGTTGTATATAATATTTAACGTGAGGAGTTAAGCGACAAGAAATTTCAGATTCTCCCAACAATCTGGATTCAACGGGCATAGCTGCTGATGCGGAAAACGAAGCAACAGAAGCGTGAGTTCAACGAACAAAAGTAGAGAGGTACCCTCCGGTAATCAAACATGCAATTTTCAATCTCATCATTGAAAACAGAGGATGTTCCCATTGAAATCTTCATTTACAGTTGATTTTCCAGCTTGCCACGTTTGATGACACCAGAGGGTACTGACATGAGTTTTCAGGCAGTAGGTATATATGTTCCTCAAGCTCCAGCGCCCAACCGGACTTGGTGTCCCACACAGGAAGATGTGGACAGACAAAGGGTGCTTTGAATAGACAGCTAGGCAACAAGGCGAAAGGCTGCCTGTATAGCATCAACTGGACAGCTGGAGAGCAGGAACTAGTATACAATTATGTCTGTCCAGAGGTGAAACCGCCAAACTGAACGGGCGACGCCTTGTTTCAGTGGATAGAGGCCACGTCGCCAGACTGGCGTGAGGAGTCGTATGGCAAGGCTGCAGTCTTCCCTGTGGTATCCTCTGAACCAGCTTCTTGTTGTCGGACTTTCATGGCGGCATCGCCTGGCTTGGAAGATTGGAGGAGAGGTTTCGTCCAAAAGAGAGATAGTGCCCTTCAAACTAACATGGCTATGGAAAATCACCATGTTTCATAGGTATATTAACCATAAATCACCGTTTTCAATAGCTATGTCATGTTAAAGTTACATAAAGTTATATACCATTTTCCACTTAGTAAATGTGTTCTTATCCCAGTTATAAGGGTTAATCCACTCAAAAAACTGGGGTGAACTAACCCATTCACCAAGTGGTTTGAGCCACCAAACAATCTCAAGATGTTTGAGAAGTCTAGGATTCCGGATCGTATGTCAGCATATTATATACCCTCTGGTTATGACTAACATAGCGAACTGGAAAATCCCTCATAAATGTAGGTCTCTAGCTGGGAAAATCATCTATAAATGGGCCATCTATACCATGGCTATGTTAAATAATCAGAGGGTATATCACAATGTATAGATATAATTGTCTAATATTGTCTATATATCACAATACACATACATCATACATACATCATATCTCATAAAAACTGACTGATTTGAAATGACCTGATCAGAATTTATTCCAGTCTCCCGTGGGAAGATGATATTAGGATGCCTGTGATATTCCATTTCAATTCCCGACATGGTTGGGGTTGGGGTTGGGGTGTACCATGGATGTCTTGTGAGGTACACAAATCAGACATTGGGAGGTTTGCTGAATGCAACCTTTGGTCTCTCGGTCGCATCGTTGATCCTTGTGGTTTTCAGGCGGATCATCCCACAATTCGTGGTGAAGATTTGTGGTCGTTTAAAACGTCCCGGGAAAAGTGGCTTATCCAAATATATCACAAACAGAAAGGCTTGTTGCCGCTGAAATCACCGATACATTAATTAATGTTTTTTTGTCAATATATTACATGATCTGAAGTAATATTGTTTTTTGTTGTCCATACACAAGCTTTTTCTATTAGACATACAGAAAGGCCTGTTGTGGGCGTGCAAAAGGCATTTTTTCCCTAATACATTACATGGTCTAAAACAATATTGGCCTTTTGCTGTCCATACACAAACCTTTTCTAGTGGAAATAGGGCTTAGAGTTGTTAACCACCCAAAATAAAACAAAAACACATGTTTTGGGGACTACTTGGATCTAGGCATGTTCAGACTAGTCTGGAAAACAGCTGGACCTGGACCGCCTTGTTCGCACGGACGTATCGTTCCGACTGCTCTTGTCAGCTATGAATCCACGATGCACAGAGACCGGCAAATGGGGAAGTTGCAGACCGACGCAGATGGCTCGACCATTTTCGTGAAGAATTCTTTGGCCTTGCTTCCGGCTGGAACATTGCGGTGGCTTCGAGAACATCGCGTTTCGCTGCTACTTCTAAGCACATGATCGAGGAACAGGCCAAAAAGCAAACAAAACCCAGGGAGTGGAAAACAAAGCTGATCAATGCTTTGTTTGAAGCTGATGGGAAAGGTGGCTATGTCATGAAGCCCAGCAAAGCAGTCTTTGAAAGCCACAAGGAGGCATACCACAAGAGGTATGGGACAGATGAAAAAGAGGGAATGCAGAAAACAGTGTTCCTGTACAAAGTGTTCCATGGCAATGAGCAGGGGCTGGAAAGAGCCATTCAAGAAGGAGGTGTGGTACAATGGATTGAGGATGGCCTGGAAATGTGCGCTTTCAGAAGGGTGAGCGCAGGAGTAGAGAAGTCAGCCTTGCAAGCCCACAAAGTCAGCAGTGGTGGAACTTGGGGCCGGACCGAAGAGACTCCGGCTACTCCTCCACCACCCCCTTCAACAAATCTTGTACGCTAAACTTGCGCAGTATTCATTGGGGATGTGCAATTTTCCTTTTCAGGTGTGAAGCCTTTGGGGATGTGAAGTTATGTTTTTGGTGAAGGAAACCGTTCCTTCAACTAAAAGGCGTTCCTGTCCCTGTAGAGCGCAGCTGGAGTTCTTTGAAAGGAGCGTTACATATTTACAAAGAAATGGTGTGATTGAAAGGGTTGTTACATATTTTCAAATCATGGTGTAACTTTCAAAAGAGGCAGCTGATTCAAGTTCTTTTTGGTGATTTTTGGTGAGTAAAACAGTTCCTTCAAACAAATGGTGTTCCTTCCAAACAGATGGCAACTGGGTTTCTTTGAAAGGAGTGTTGCATTTGTTCAAAGAAATGGTGCTACTTTCAAACATAAAGGCCAGCTGAGCTTCTTTGAGAGGAATGTTACATCTTTAAAGGACACAGCATGTTTTGACACAATATTGTCAGTTTCTGTTGCTTAAACTAAACTGTTTAAATATGATTGCAACTTTAAGTCAAGTATTCAATCTTTGAAGAAAACAACATCTGCCTGAAGGAATGTTACCATGATAAAGGAAGAAGAGAGGAATATTGCGCTTTAGAACACAGTACACATTGTAGATAAGACATTTTCTTGAAAAAATCCAACCTTCGAAAAAAAAAAAATCTTTCTGAAAAAAACAAACATTTGACAAGCTCAAAAGCAACCACCAGCTTGTAAATGACAACAGCTTTTTTGGTTGAAGTGGATGCTTTGTAGGAAAACTGCTCTTCTTTGAAGAACCCCATTTCTTCAATGCATTGTTTGCTGGGAATGTATCAAGCACAGACATACAACTTAATAGACTATGTACAGATATTTCTCTTTGGGTAATGAAAGCAAGTGAAAAAACTGCATTGCCTGATACCGTTTGCAATTTTGCCTTCAGCTCAATGTGTTGCATTTTCTTTGGTCAACTGCTGCGCTGTGCAGCTCAAACTCATTCAACATTGTTATGTACTTCCACACCTGTTTGAAAACACCAGGGAAAATCCTTAATGTTCTAACTGAAATAGGCCTTGTAGATGAATTAAGGTTGTGTTTCAAAGACGACTATTTTTTTCAAAAGAATGTGGTATTGTACCACAACCATATGGAAAGCTAACAGTAGTGTATCCCTAGGTTTCAAAACAAGATATTTCCATTTTTCATGACGTTTGCCACACAAAAAACAACATAACTATTGTTTATGAGAAGTACATGACCTGAACTTATCCACTGTAATTTTGCATTTTATGTTACATACATAATATGTTGCACCTAATGCTTCAAAGTGGAGATATATCTTGTTTTCTCTTCTAGGGTGGAATTTCTTCTTGGAATTTGCCACATTTTGAACCTAATGACTACCATTGTTCTAAAGGAGTGCATTTTACAGCTGAATATGTGTTTTTCACTGGGTCAGGCCTCCTCCTTTTTTAGACATCCTATTTGATCATGACCATCTCCCGAAGGATACAAGAACATGAGGAAAGCCTATTTCCCAGTGGTGGCAACAAGCCCCTTTCAAATAAAAATGAGTGAACTGACTATGGTTTCTAGTCAGTTACGATTTATGGGATAATCCTCAAAGTAGGTTGGGAACCCCACATTGGCACCAACAGTCGCGGCTCGATTTTTGATGTGTTGCAAGGGGAATTCAGTGGCAAAGCACTTGGGTTTGCGGTTTGATGTCAGTTAAAGCCCAGATCTGCCAATGATTACCCTCCGGCAATCAAAGGCGGCAAGGGAAAGTCCCACATTTCTGGATGTTAGCGAACGAAACCTCCATTTATGGCTGATTTTCCTGCCATGTTCAGAGGGTAACATCCCCAAGGTGACCCTAAAAATTGCCAAGAAGTCCCAGTGTGGGAGTGGCAAGCGACGAAATGGAAGGGTTCGAGTACCCTCTGGTAAACTGTCACATAACTGTGGAAAATCACAATTTTGAATGGGAAAATCAACTATAAATGGCCATTTTCAATAGCTATGTTAGTTTACCAGAGGGTATGTTCTACAGTAGTACTGGGTGCTTCCCAACTTTCCACCTTTTGTATCCCATTGCTCGAAATATTCCATTTATTTCATGTGTGTGTTGCGCAGCCACACATCCGCAGTCTAGGTGACCTAAAACTTCCAATGGATCGACTGGGGACTGGGGATGTTAGTCCCCTTCTGCTCACATCCCAACGAGGATGGGAGGCCACATCCCACTATCTCCCGGTCCTTCAGGCGTTGGAACCAACTGCCATGCACTGATACATCCCAGAACATGTTGTTCACGAAGGTCTATCAGGATGAGTAGCATGTGTATTTTACCCAAAAAAACATGCAGGAACTCCTTTTCGATTTTCCCTGCAGATAGGGGCCCTTGCAGATAAAAGTAAGTTGCCTTTACAACTCAGTGAACCATTGGATTTATGGTGGATATATATATATATATATATCTATAGTTGGATGGGGGTTATAAATCAACAAACATACACTCTGGTAATTTAAGATAGCTATTGAACATGGCCATTTATAGTTGAGTTTTCCCATTAATTAAACATGGTGATGTTCCATAGTCTTTTGTATGTTTACCAGAGGGTAACTGGGGAGCCCTGTGGAATTGTCCACTTGATTTGTTCACAAAGGAAACATCACTGAGCTGGTGGTGTGCATTTTCGCAATCAGAGTCCGAGACCTCAAGCAAACCTGAAAACACAGCTGAGGAAAGAACTATATATGGTGATTTAATCTGGATATAATGTTGATTTAATCATCTGGTATGTGGATATGTTGCTGTTGCTGTTCTTCTTCTTTGTCTTCTTGTTTTCTTTTATTAAGGGGGTATATATACGTGTGTATATCTGGTTGGTGGTTTGGAACATTTTTTATTTTTCCATTCAGTTGCGAACAATCATCCCAACTGATGCACTCCATCGTTTTTCAGAGGGGTAGGTCAACCACCAACCAGATATAGTTTTGTTTGCACAGAGTCCCCGAGGTTCACCCCAATCATCATGCCCACGTATAGGCGAGCCACCAAGCAATGTTTTGTATTTGCCGTGGAAATTTGGGTACCCTCTGGTAAACTAACATAGCTATTGAAAATGGCCATTTATAGTGGATTTATCCCTTTCACAATGGTGATTTTCCATAGTTACGTTAGTTTACCAGAGGGTAGACGCCAAAAATGTCAGTTTTTATGTTGGTTGACCAATAGATTTAGGGGCACACATGGGCACACCATTTTTCAGACAAACCCATATGAACCATCAAAAACAGAATATCACCGGATGTTGGAAATGGTACTAAGCATCGACCACTAAACCTTTTTCACAGAGGGTAAGCATAAAAAAGGGGACAATAGTCAATAGCCCAGCCAAAGAGGTGGTTTGGAACATGAACGTTATATATATATATATTATATATGTTTATTATGTTTCCATTCAGTTGGGAATTTCATGGAATTTCATCATCCCAAGTGACGAAAGGGGTAGGTCAACCACCAACCAGACCTTGTTATGCCACAGTTTTCGCAATGGGATGATGGGATTTGACAGATTTTTTTCGGGAAAAATGGGATGGTTGTGTTTATTGGCTTAACTAAACTTACGAAACATTAAAATGGGAATACTTAGTATTTGGAACTTTAAATTTCGGGGCAATCTTATTGGTATTATTGGCTTTATCATAAAGATTGGGGCGTTCTATACCAAAACATTCTGAATCATATTCTGAATCGTCAATGGGAATGTTGTTTAAACTGATGCGTTTTTTCCCAGAAGTTGGTTGGAATTTAACTGTACTGGCGACGCACGGAGCCTTGCTAAATGGGGATCCATGGTTGTTGACTCTTCAAGCCACCACTGGTTGGTGGTTTGGAACCACCTGGTGTAATAGGATATATATATATATAATTATATATATACATATATTGTAATTGGTGCGGGCCCCTCTTCAAGTAAAGCTGCAAGCAAACCAAAACAGTGGATATAGTCCAGATACCCTGATCAATGGAATTCCTGTTGTATTGTGGTCCACCAGCAACCTCACACACCCGTCTCTGTTTTTCAGCAGCACACACACACAGGATCGTCTCACAAGACGAGCAGCAACGGTTGAAAGGAACGGCCTCGTTCCTATAAGGCAAAGACCCCGTCTCTGCAACCACCGTAGCGCCAAAATTGGCTTCAAGGATCTTTGATCCCGACCCGCCCTCTACCGGGCTCTCCTGAGCCTTGATGCCTATTGGTCCAGGCATGGTTTCAAGAGCTGCAAGACCTTGGTAGCTGGTTGATGTGTCCTTGGTTGAAGAAAACTGAATCATAATAACACTCGTCAAAAATTATGTTTTATTCGAATGTCCGGAGCCATCTCAGTCTATCCTTGGTTTTGGCCCTTTCTTTGAGTGTTGATGCCTCATCACATAGTTTATAGAATCCAAACTTCAAGGTCTCTCGAAGGAAATGAGACTCCATAGCCTTGGTGAGGGAGTCGGCTAGCTGTGCTCCACTTGGCACCCATCGCAGCGTGGTTCCTTCCCGCAAGGATTCCTTGATCGCCCGTGCCATTAACTGTACTCTGAATTCTGAACATGAAGGTGGTGCAGTCCTTGTTATCATGTCATACAAACTCTTGCAGTCAGTGATGGTCAGGTCGGTGTCCTCCTGTTTGGTAGGAACGGTAATTGCGGGGGCTAGCTTCATCAAGGCATCCTCAGGTTTCTTCCATTGCACGGTTGGATCATGAATCCAGCTCCAAAACAGTCGTAGCCAGCCAAGCTGATCCAGGGTTGACGACAAGGCCATCGTCTCAGCAGAGAGAGTACTGGTCACTACCTTTTGAATCTTTCTGCAACCCCAAGTCAAAGGACTGATTGGACACTGGCAGTTGTGACTAATGTCTTTGTGGGTACCTACAATGATGGAACCAGCATGTGAATCGGGTTTGGTGGCTGATGAGAATGATGCGTCCGAAAACGCAAGGAAACGGACGTCTTGATATGGGATTGGTTTTATAGTGATTGTGACATCATGGTGACGTTTGGCTTCGTGTAGGAGTCGGTTGGCTTCCATCAAGTTCTCGATCTTGGCACTGTTGATTGAGGATTGTAGAAATGAAAGTTTACTGGATAAGTCTGGTCTGGTGTTTATTGCTGCATATTGTAGGCTGCCAACTAAACCCCGGAGAGCTAGTCGTTCTTTTTCGGTAACTGGAAGTTCAAGTTGGGATTTTCGGTTGGCTTCAATGGCAATCGGATTGATTTTCCTGACATAGGCTGATTGATTCATAGTGATGCTGTAGTCATGGTGTTGATTGAGTTCAATTCCCGTGAAAGTAAATGCTGAGACTTTGTGTGATCCAAACGGAAATGTTTTCTCAAGTTGTTGAATGGCAGCTTCAAAAGCAGGGCTTCCTCCGCCAATCCCATCGTCCACATGGATACCCAAGATCCCTTCCAGCTTGCTTGGCTGACTTTCAGTCGCCGGTGTTCTGAGAACAAAGCAGCAGGGATCGAAGGGGCATGCTTCAAAGCCTAGTCTTTGTAATTCCGTGACCAGCGCACAGTACCAAAGATACGGAGCATCGATCAGGCCATACGCGCCTTTGTTCAGTCGGCAGATCTGTTGGGAACTTAATCCCATGGCCTTTCTCAGTTCGGGCACAGGGTCTATTGCTATAATTCTATCGGCCTGCGGTCGGCCTTGGAGGAATGCAGCCTTTATATCAAAGGACCTCATTTTCCATGAATGTGACGCAATAGTCTGTAAAACAACCATTCTGGAAGTTTTATTGAGTGTAGGACTATCCCTGGGAACCTCTTCTAATTGGGGATCCAAGTAACCCAGTACCACCAGTCGAGCTTTCGCTTTGTGGGTCCTTGGGGCATTAGGTGATTTGGATTTCCTTTGTTCCTTTTCGGGTTCATCCATTTGATTAGCATTATCAAGGGGTTTCCAGGTTAGCATCCATCTACATCTCAAGACTTGTTCTTCAGGGATTTGATTACGGAGAATGGCACTGATAGTTCCTGTTTTGATCCAGTTCTCGACCTCGGCTTGTTTGGCCATCTGGAACTCTCGGAGTTCGTCGTCCGATAAATTCGACAACTTCACTTCTGACCTCTGTTTCTTGGAAGCCGTTGCAAGCAACATCCATGATTCCTCTTCTGAGGGGACATATGCATCCAGTGGGGTTTCCAATTTCATGTCGAATTCACAGGACCAGGCTAGGTTTCCGGCTTCTGCACAGGAAAACGCATTGCTCGGTTCCTGACACGTCAGGAGGATGGGTTCAGGACTCTCAGCTAGGTCGGGAACCGGTTGTTCCTCTACTGGCATTTCGGAGGGAATCCCCTGCGAGGCTTCCGGTGTGAGGTTTTCTGGTTCCTGGTCAGGTTGTGGTAATGATTCTTCCTGGCTGTCAGAGTTGTTTTCATTCGTGTTTTGTGAGGCATTATCTTCGGGATTATTAAGGTTATTTGTGGTCGGGACTATTTCAGGTGGGATTTCAAGTGGATTGAGTTCAGGGTCATTATTGGTGGAATTACTCTGACTCATACGTGCTATTTGTTGGGTCATCGGCGTGATGTCTTCTGGTAATTCTGGTCCTTCAGGAGATCCCTCTTCAGGGAAGGCTTTTCTCACGTTCTCTGGAGCACTCCGGATGAGCTTTCCATTTGAGGTACACCAAACAGTATGATGTTCATCTTGAAGGATTACTCGGTGGGGACCGCTCCACTTATGTTGATTCAGGGGACCATTTTTCCATGTCATGACCCATTCACCCTTCATGTATCGACCTCTAGAAGGACATGCTCTCCGGAGAAGAGCTCGGCGGAGGACATCGCTGTTGTCCGATGCGTGAAACGAGCGGCGTGCTGCTTCCCGAATCGCCAAGGTTTGGCGAAAGCCTTCTGGACTCATGCTGTTCTCTTCTTGTAAGGCCTGTTCATGAGATGGGATCGAGTCATCGCTCAGTATGGAGCCTGGGATTCTAGTGTGCTTGCCAAAAACTATTACTTCGGGAGCATATCCGTGACGAATGCTGAGAGAGTTCTTAGCATGAGTACACTGATTCATGGCCATCTGCAGGTCGGCATAGCTAGCTATGGGAAATTCCAGGTCTATTTTACTGAGCATTGATTGGAGGAATGCTCCATGTCGTTCGATTTTTCCACTTTGCCAGTGAGCTTCCGGACATGTAGTGGTGGTTCGAATATTGAACCTTTGTGAGAACTCGGAAAATTCCTGGCTGTTCATCTCGGTCCCTGAGTCCACAACTAGCTCACTTGGTGGCCCAGCCCAACTCAACCAGTGCTGATTTAATATTTGAATTAAATCCTGTGATGTTCGGGCTGGTGAGGCAATTGCTACATGGTAGTTCGTACCCGCATCCAACATGTGAAAGAAGTGGAACGATTTGCCTTGGCTATTGGTCCATTTGATGCCATCAAGATATACTTTATGGTTAAAGTCTATCATTGATTTCAACGAGGCTGGCCTCGCATGCTTTGGTGGTGCATGAGCTGCGCAAATGTTGCATCGAATTTCAGAAGCCGCTTGAATTACTTCAGGTCGGGAACCATTTACCTGGAGTGCTCGGGCAAGTCTGTCATTTGATGGGTGACCTAGATTCTTGTGTAACTTGATAATCATCAACTGTTCCCATCTTGGCAAACTCCGGAATCTTGAACTCTGTTGCTCGAGCACGGGGTCCAGGGATGCATTCGGCGACACCAAAGGAGGTGTATTGGCTTCTCCTTCGGTTGAAGGTTCTGGCTTCTCAAAATCTACTCTGGGCGTGCTCCCTGCAGGTGGAGCCTTTTGGGCATGTTGCTCGTCACTTGCAGGCACCTGGTCTGAGCTCGCTGGCATATCTTTTGGCATTGGTTCTGGTGGTTGGACAGAAGTTGTTTCAGGAATAGGCACCCTTGGAGATTCCCACTCCCTTGCAAACACTGTGACATTCAACCTACATGCATGAGATGGTCGTATTAACTGTCTCTTGCTGAGTTCAGGCCATCTTTCCCAGTGTTTTTCATACTGTACCTGACCATCCCTTCGCAGCATCAACATTCGACGGAAGGGTGCTTCTTGGGCGTGGAGATTCTTGGGTGGCTCCATGGTTCTCTCCGTTCCACGACAGGCCATGACAGCATGCACATGCTTTTCGGGAAAAACTTGCTGAAGTTGTGATATGATTAGGGGATCCCAAAATTCCATCTTGCCTACCCGGGGCAGTTTCTCACTAATGGCTTGTATGGCCTGTTGGCACATCTCCAGAGTCGGAGCAAACCCTTGGTGAGAATCCGTCTTGGATCGCTTGGAATCTACAGCAGGCCGGGCGGCTGGGCTGACCGTCTCTGATTTTGGGAACTCGGCTTTGGCTCTGAATTTGGTTTGAAGTGCGAAAGCTGGTGATGCCTCTGCTCTGGTTTCGGCTATGACAGCTGCTAGATCATGTGTCCAACCGTACGGCAAACAAGTGGATCCCTTCTTCATGACTTGTGCAACTGCTCTGGCAAACTTTCGGGGATAAACTTCCGTGTGTCTAGTTCTCAACACCCTTTCCCCTTCTGTAGTTCGGCATGATCCCTCTTTGGCTGGTGTTGGTGTCGATGGTCACACGTCATTCCATGGAATCTCTTGTAAAGGGGTTCAAACGTAGTTAGAACTGTCATTCCCTTCTTCATGGGCATCTGGTTTTCCGGGTCTACTAGGCCTCCAGCACGGCACATGTCAAATTGGCACGCACGAGTATGTTCATGAACTTCTGACAGGTTGGGACCATGAAACATCAGAGACTTTTGGGGCTGTTCCCAATGAAAATGGCTTTTGGTTTCCATTTGGTGACGATATAGGACAGTACCCAATGCAATTTGATACAGGAGGTTTCTTCTCATTTGGACATATTCTTGATGATGTTGAATGGATCTTGCTGCATTGAATTGAGACCAGGATGACCAGGGACCACATGTTGGTGAATACCATATGTGCTTTGGTCTGTGCCGGGCTATTTTGCGAAAGAGGTCAGCTCTTCCCGTGCTGGTTGAAAGATCGCCTTGTTCAAGACCAAAGCGAAAAGCCGATTGGCCGCTCTTCAAAACCTGCTCTGTGATCGGTGAATTGGCACTGCACATGACTTCTCCTAGAGTCCATCTACTCCCCATGGGTTTAGTCTGTTTCAGGATTAGATGCATTTCTGTTGACAGCTTCTCCACTAAACCCCATAGTTCAGCAGTTTCAGAGGTGACCGTTGTGAACACTTGGTTGTTCCAATCTACCTTTACTTCTGTGATGGAGGATTCCCAATCACTTATACTGGCCGGCATTGAGCTGAGTTCGGCAGGGCTCATGGGATCTCTCAGGCCGGCTCGTTCACCTGGTTGTTCTGGTTCAGCATGGTCTGATCTTCGATGTGACGGATCACCCGGGTCAGTGCATTCTCCATGCTCAACATTCTGGTCTGCAAGGCCTGGACTTCCTCGGTCATGGGGCTTGTCGCATAGCCCGTAGTCACTGGGACAAACATCTCTGACTCCACATCCCAGTCGTCGTCCCCATCCTGCAAAGAGATGAGCGATGGGGTTGCCATGCTTTTGGCTCCGGGCTTGGGTCGGGCTTTGGCCCGGTTGATCTGACTTGTGTTCTGACGGGGCGGAACTACCGTCTGTGCATTTTCCATCTCCTCGATCTTGAGCTCCACATACTTCAGGAAGCGACGGTGGCTTTCCTTGTTGGACCCCTGATACCTGTTGATCATGAAGTGAACCCACTCCTGATCCTCCCAGGCTTCCTGATAGGGATGCCCCAGATGCTTCTGCCCGAAGGATATGGTCTCCATTGCAAGATCTTCCATCCGCAAGTGATCCAGGTTCTCCAGTACGGTCGATGCGGGAATCTGCAAGGACCGAAGGCGTTGGGACAACGACGCCATGGAAATGATCACCAGATGGGGTTTCTACGACTGTTCCCGACACTGACTTCTGAGCATGGATGTTGCTGGAATTGATTTTGAATTTGATTCCATCGGTTGCATCTTGACTTTCACTGTTGGTGTATGGCATGTTGTGTGCGTGACTGCAGTGTGGATTTTGAACATGAACCGTGGATGTGTGATTTCTGCAACTCTCGGATTCTCCCACGACACTGTCGGCACCTGGTTTTGCCTCTGTCTCATCGGACATGAAGGTCTCTGAGCAAAAACTCCTACCAGACTGTTTCTTCCTGCTGCGGCTTTCTTGGGAAGACTTGATCAACTTGTTGACATCGATCAAAAACAAACCCTTGGTCGTAAGCTGCAGTGACACTGGCGTGTTCAGCAGGGGACTGGTCAAAGTCTGGGATGCACAATCTATTCTGGCCTCGATCGCCCGCATCAGCGTGTTGCTGATGAGGAATGGTGTTCCTCCAGGCACAACTGCTACCTTAAGACTAAGGGGACCAATTGGAATCACTAAAGCTTGGCTGCTGCAAAGCGTTCCTTGATTACCAAATCTAAAGGTAATGTTGCATGGACACCTGGAGAGCTTTTGTCGGGCATCTGCATCGAGGCTTTGAATTAGTTCGGCAACGTGATCACTGCCAATCACGGTTTTGCTGGCTCCTAAGTCTAGTATGCCATGAGACCCATGTGTGGCAAAACATACGGTGGCTTCTCGGACATCTTGGGAACGATGGCGTTCCGGTTGTATGACAACTGTCTTTGGATTCTTGGCTTGATCACTACAGTGAACACTCAGTTGGTGTTTCGACTGCTCGGCAATGGCTCTGGCATGAACACACGGTTGGTGTTCCGGCTGCAACCTACGGTGATTCAACAGCGAGGCTGCGAGGCGCTTCTTGGCAGGCTCTTGGATCTCATTCCTGAAACCCCAGGCTTTCAGTCGATCTCTTGGATTAGGGTTATCTAAGGTTACCCAGTTACTCCCAGTGGATTCCCCTTGAATCTTATCACCATATCTGAATCCCCAGTCCCTATCACGTGTGTGGTCATGAGCTATTTGCACTAAAATAGGCAAAGCATCATCGATGGCTCCATGTGAGGCATCCGGCAGGTTCAAAAATTCCAGGGGCAGAACATCTTCATGATGGTCAGTTGACACCATGGTGGCTGGAACACTAGGAGGAGCCGTTGACCCTCCCGAGGTTGCAACTGAGGCTTGTCCACCAGACTGGCGAAAAGGACACTCCGCCTTCCAGTGGCCCTTCCTATTGCAGTTTCGGCAGTATGAGTTCAGAATTCTATCCTGAAGGCTCCTACGTGTTTTCGACTGCCAGACATTCTTGCCCTTTCCTGAACCTTTCTGTGACCCAAACTTACCCTTGGAGGTCTGTGTTGTGGATCTGCTGGAAGTGGCCCAAAACCCTCTGTTCTTGAACTTCTCTGACAACCTGCGCCTGGCTTCAGTGTATGCACTGTAGGCTGAGGCCAACTCCGGATCATCCTGCAACACATCGGCTGCTGCAGCTTCGAAGTCAGCCACCAGTGTGGCGTCACTGTCGCCCTCGTTGACTAGGCATTCCACAAAGTCATCCTCTGCGCAGTCTTCAGTGTGGTGAATTTCATTCTCGGGCTCATCATCTTCGGCAACTAAGGTGGTGGCTCCATAAACCTTTGTCTTGGCTACCTTCTTGGCTCCTGTCATGTCATGGAAAAAGCTGGCACCTAACAACCTGACGGCTTCACTTACCCGCTTGACAGTAAGTTTTCCCTCCAGGCTATTGTCTGATTCCAAGATCACTCGCTTCTTGTCATCTGCACTCAGGCTTGACCCTCGCAAGAGGATGTAAGCCTGAAGATCATCCAGAGAAAGCTTCCTTGATTGCAACTTGCTCCAAGCTACGTCAGACCTGGCTAAGTAGCTGTCATTGGATTCGTCCTGATTCTGGGTCATGTGGTACAATGCAATCTCGGCCTCCTCATACTGTTTCTCCAGTGCGATGCGACCCCAATGGCCACCTAAAAGCTCTATTAGCCTTTGGACAGCCTTTTCGTCATTTTCCATCAATTCCGTTCTGTGCAATTGCAGTTTGGAGAAAGCGGATCCTTTGCAGTTTAAGATTAATCTTGTAATCAGCTCTGTGATACGTGTTTTTGGCCATGCCATGAGAACCAGCTCCACCTTCTGTTGATACTCCAGCATATTGTCAGTTGATGGATCGAAGTGAGGCACCAGTGTGGCTAACTGAGAGCCAACTCCGGTGGTGGTGCCATCACCGTCCGAGGCAGCTGACATCTGAATGCCCTGGATGCTCCGGTGGCGAGCCGGAGCTCCGCTACCAATGTAATTGGTGCGGGCCCCTCTTCAAGTAAAGCCGCAAGCAAACCAAAACAGTGGATATAGTCCAGATACCCTGATCAATGGAATTCCTGTTGTATTGTGGTCCACCAGCAACCTCACACACCCGTCTCTGTTTTTCAGCAGCACACACACAGGATCGTCTCACAAGACGAGCAGCAACGGTTGAAAGGAACGGCCTCGTTCCTATAAGGCAAAGACCCCGTCTCTGCAACCACCGTAGCGCCAAAATTGGCTTCAAGGATCTTTGATCCCGACCCGCCCTCTACCGGGCTCTCCTGAGCCTTGATGCCTATTGGTCCAGGCATGGTTTCAAGAGCTGCAAGACCTTGGTAGCTGGTTGATGTGTCCTTGGTTGAAGAAAACTGAATCATAATAACAATATATATATATATATACGCGGGGATGAAGAAGTCTCTTTTGAGTATGATGACGTTATTCAGATTGTTCAGGTTAGCTAGGTGGGTGAAGATTGCAATCATATCCTCAAGCAAGCTCTGAAAATAGTGGCGCCCCCCTATATCCAATGGTGTATGGCCGGAAAAACATTGCTAAACTGCACAAATCTATCGGATGTTCTCTCAGTTCGCCTAGTCTGATTCTTCCCATTTGCCGTTTTTGGTCCTATGTTCTGACACTTACTGGTTGGTGCTTTTGGACATTTGTTTTTTTTCCATTCAGTTGGGAATGTCATCATCCCAACTGATGAACCCCATCATTCTTCAGAGGGGTAGGCATACCACTAACCAGACCATGTTGGTTCGCTTACACCACCATTTTGGTTTCTTTGAAACTACATCTTGAGTGATATAACTGGATGGTCCTCTTGAAAACCACATGTGTTCCGAACATAAAACAAGTTGAGGCCACTTCCAACCAACCATCCTGGTCAGGAATTCACAACATGTTGCAACCATCTTTGGTCAGAGCTACCACTTTATCCCAAAAGATGCCCTGTTAAGGCCGGACTCTTCCGGGTGGCACAGCTCTCCATGTTGGGCTCTGTGCTGTCCAACTTGCTTCTGGTGCCTCAGTTCAGACGACCAACCATGTTTCCTGGGACTTCACCAAAAAAAATATATGGGCTTGATTGGGGTTTCTAACTATCAGAGATATGGGTCAAAACCTCTGATTACCATCCATTAACCAGATAGTTTAGGCTAAGGCTATGAGGGTTTGAAAACTCATAGTCACATGACCATGCTATGAAATATAACTTTACTGAGGAATTATAGTAGGGTTGTTTTATATCACTTGCTTCACCTTTGGGGGGAGCTGTTTTCGGAGTTTTTTTTTGTGCAGGAGATGATCCCCCATAAGTTGGGATATATCATCGACATAACTATGGCACTATGGAATATAACATATGGGATAAGTTAAGATGAACTATGGTTATAGTTATAGAATATACCTTCTGGTAAACTAACATAGCTATTGAACATGGCCATTTATAGTGAATTTTCCCATTAAAAATGGTGATTTTCTATAGTGATGTTAATTTACCAGAGGGTATCAGAATATATCCATTTTTTACTGGAACTGCACCCGCAAGTATGGTGAGATGTCCAAAAACGGAACCTAAAGAGCGTGGCATTTTTTTTTGAAAAAAAGACCTTTCTGAAATGGCGCAAAGGCAATGATTGAATAATGTTGAATGGTTCCAACAATCAAAACTAGGGATGGCTACCAGTGCATAGATGTCCTTTTTCCATTGGTTGGTTGATTAATAGAAGGGTTTGTTTACCCCTTTAACAACAGGTAAATGATAGATGGTATACCAAACCGGCCCCTCTATTTTTACCAAAAGGACATTATTGGGATTGTTACCCATGCGGGGTTCTCCCAGTCAGAAAACTTGCATGGATCTCCTTTTCGCAGCACTGATTTCGCCATATTTTTTTTGTCATGTTTGTCCATGACAGATGGGAAGGTTCATGGAAAACATGGACCAAATGGCTGTGTCTGAAAATGTCGTCTACCCCAAAGTAGTCCTTTAACATGGGAACATTATAAGAACCCATTGGACTTTGAGGTGCCTTATTTTCAGACAAACCCAAATCTAATAAATCTGCTTGTTTTCAAGGGAAATTGCTATGTCAACTAATTCGATGGTTAATGCATGTTAATGCTGTGAATTAGCCACATTTTCCAAATTGTTTTGCATGATTTCCTTTTTCTTCTGGTTGGTTGCCATTGGCTGATGAAAAAAAACATTGTATTGTAACCATGAATGGACAACCAATCTGTGAAAGAAATATCAAACGTAGTTTCATTTTTGTTGAGCAAACCCTTCAAAAACAGTTGCAGAACAACCCTTGATCACATCAACTAAGTTAACTAAGTTATAGAAGACACCAAAGCGTAACATCGTAAAATCCAAACCATACATATGATTACATATGTTTATATATATATGTATATATATAAGTTATGCCAAATCTTGGCGTGTCGGGGGTTGACCATGGACGTGATGATGTTTCCATGGTCAAACGCCATCCGACAGGTTCTGGGCTCGGCGTTTCTCATTGGCGGCTGCAGACACAAGGACGGGCAAAGACCATGGTGTCATGTGGAGATCGCGGGAAAATGCTGGGTTTTACCATGTTTTGCCATCAAGAAATGGTGAATGAATGAGAATATGAATGGAACATGTGGCATTTATAGATGATGTATGAGGATTTACCTATTAAAACTGGTGATTTTCCAATGATTTCGCCTCCGGAGTCATCAAAGGTGGCTGGTAGAGAACTGGTGGAAATGGGGAACTGGGTCTTTGGATGCGTTGGACTGGTGGAAAGCCCATGTTCTGGAGGATGCCACAACAAACGAGAATAGCAGTAGAAAGCAACCCAAGGATAAGGATGGCAGGTAAACCAAGTGAATCTTTCCAGAAAAAACCGGAAATGACGCCACCAGCTGTGATGGCTCGTCCCGGGGTCCATAACCGATGAATCTGGCCGTGACGGCGACCCCACTGGGCTGAGCCACTTGAGGAGCAAAACTTCAACAGGTGCGAGTGCCGAGTGCGGGAAAGGATTTCTTAGTTTTACCCAGAAATGAGCAGTGTTTAAACTACTGTTGGGTGCTGATGATAGTATTTGTTTTGTACAGTATGGTATGGTATAGTACCCAATTTATTGGAAGCTATCATAATTCAAATCATTACTGGTTGGTGTTTGAAACCATGCTTGGAGTGGACAGGGAAAGTGTGGCCAAAGGTCTTCGTCTCGCTTTTGATGCGGATGCAGGAGGGGAAGCAGTGCGAGAGTCACTCATGGTGATGGGAAACAAGCTTCAGGAGATCGCCGCCGTGGGAACAGCACAAGCAAAACACTTATATCGCATCATCTTCAAGGATCTCGGGACGTTCATTCGCATGCACCAGGGTGATCTACGCATGAACTTTCCCTACGTGAAAGGAATGCCAAAGGAACTGATTGTGGAGCCCTTTTTGCCAGAGATCGACTCGAAGCATAGCGGATTCAAGAGGTGCCTCACAGAGATGATTGCAGCAGGAATAGTCTTGGGCCCTGAAGCTCAAGGAGGTCCTGCGTACGATGGGATATTGGTAGGCATGATGAATGAGGCACTGAGCGCGAAGAAGATCGAAGATAAACTTCGCACGAAATTCAAGCAGAATGCCCAGATCTTCCAGAAGGACTCTCTTTCATATCGGCTGCTCGCAATGTCCATTGGAGCCGATCCCCAATAGCCGTGGTGGCCCAAACTTTCCAGGTAGTACGGCCGATCTTTGCTGAACTTGGGCTGGTTTTCTTACCCCAATTCTTGCCATGGACATGGAGTTTCCCATGAAATTTGGTACGACTGCAAATGGTGACCTGATGAATTTGGTGTGTAGGGTGACTGCTTTTGACCATGAACATTCATCCCACCTCATGGAATGCTTGCACAATGGACAGAAGTTTTCCCTGGAAGGACTTTTGGATGGGAGTTTCACCACCTTTACTCTCTTGGGTTGCCGGTTGAAGCACCAATTTCCGATGCCTTGCCTTGAGATTACTAGCCAGACCTACGTCATGGGCCATAGGACACCAACATGGAATGCCTTGAGGTCACTCATTGACCTATGCGCAGGTTTTGGAGGACTCGCCCAAGGAGCAATAGCTTCTGGCTTTGACATTGCTGTTGCGGTGGACCAGAACAGTAAGATGTTGGATTTGTACGCAAAAGCCAGTTCTGCACCAACGGTCTGCGGGGACTTTGGTGAAAGCCGTGTCCTTTTTGAGATATGGAAACATGCAGGTGGCGCTGCAGCATTGTCGTCTGGCTTCAGCTGTCAGCCCTTCTCAAAATTAGGTGACATGAAAAGCTGTGGAGACACCCGTTCCAATTGTCTCACCAAAACCCTGGCCGCTGCATACTTCCTGCAAGTACGCCTAGTAGTGTTGGAGTGTGTTTCACCAGCTGCCAATGATAGTTTTGTGAGGGCCGAGATTGAACATTTCATGAAAGTCACCGGTTTCACTTGTGCACAGGTCAACCTGCAGTTGGAGCACACGTGGCCTTCCCGTAGACACCGTGCATGGTGGCTCCTGGTTGCACCAGAATATGGCCCCATTGATCTGAAACCATGGCCTAACATGTCCAACGTCACTATGGTTCAACAAGTCATTCCCTCCATTTGTTTGTGGGACTCTGGTGATGAGCAAGAATTGATGTTGGATGAATCTGAACTTGAAGCCTTTGGAGTGACCAGGGATGAACATGGTAGATACCTACTGAACGGAAGGGCCGTTGCACCATGCGCATTGCATGCCTGGGGCAGCCAAATTCGTGCATGTCCTTGCGGGTGCCGTTCATTTCCTTTTTCTGCTGAGCGTTTGGCCACCAAAGGTCTTCATGGTTGTTTGGTGAGAAGTGCCATCAATGCAGCTCATGAGACACACATACGTCACATACACCCGAATGAAGCAATGGGACTCAACACCATGGATCCTGTCCTGGATTTTGGCCAGCCAGTTCGGTTGACTTTGAGTGCTGTAGGACAAATTGCGGCACCGCTCCAGGCACTGTGGGTATTTGGTTTTGCAACTGCCAGGTTGGATCAATTGCAGTTTGGTGAATCACCTTTCGATTCCCAAGCTCAAATTCAAGCTTACCGTACATGGCTCCTCATGCGTTGCAGGCAAGTGTGGCCCAGTGAAACTGAGCCAGTTCAGGACATCACACTGCGACAGCTGATTCAGTTTTGGCTCCCATACAAGGATTTGTCCCTTGAGGAATTGGTGCATCCTGCGAAGTGGCAGGGAAGCATACATGTGACACCCAGTGTTGCTGCCGTATTGGATTGCATCATCCGTAATCAAACTGGGATCACCCCTTTGCCAACTGTTGATGTGGAGGAAGATGAGCCGCCCACACCATGGTATGATTCACCTGTTTTGGTTGATGACATTTCCACTGAAGGATGCATGTGTGTCGATTCTTGCACGGTGATGTTTGAGGGCTCATCTGATTCCCCTGTTAGGGTCCAACCAAAATGCAATTCCACAGTGGGTGAATTCCTGATTGCGCATGAAAAGCTGGTTGGCAACCTTTGTATCTCTTCTATGACTTTGAATGGGATGGAAATCTCTCGTGAGCATGTCATGGAGGTAGGTCAAGTGATTGTCATCAAACTTGCCGAAGAAAAGTGCCAAGATGGGATCCGTGCAACGGTGATTGATTCACCGGCCCAAGTTTCACCCACTGCATCATGGACCCAACCGGTGCAGGATCCTGCGGTCATTGCGTCTCCACCAAGAAAAGTGTCCAGATATGATATTGGAGAGTGTATCATTCTGATGCCTGACCAAGTTTCCGAAACCGCATGGCTCGATGCAACGCCACTCCTTGGTTTGCAGGGTGCACAGTTCCTCAAACTGATGATTCCAAACATGGTCAATACCCACCAGTTGTGGGCTGTGAGACACCAGTTCTTACGCACTACTGACCGGTCTGAGATTCTTGAAAAACAAGACATGTATTGGTCCGATGATGAAATCAGATTCCATTTGGCCAAGCTTGCTGAATTGAATACAAAGAATGGCAACCCAAAACAAGTTCAAGTGCTGGATCCTCTGCTGGCTTCAGCTTGGGTCCAGAACAAGGGTTTTGATTGTGCACTTTGGGCTCATGACCATTTGGATATCCGACAGAACCAAGTCAGTTTGATCACGGCTGTTCTGGTGGAGCAACATTGGGTACCAGTCTTCATGAATCCCAATGCTGATGTGCTGCATGTCCACACATGGGACTCTCAAGATGCTCAACATGACCAGCTTGAACAGGTCATGAGAAGATTGGCTAGCGCATGGGGTTTTTCTGATGTCCTCATTTGCCAGGAACGATGAATGTTTCTCACGACCAAGCTGTGTGGTGCACTTGCCATTGCATTTTTGAGATTTATGATCTTTGGAAACCAGCTACCCACGCACACAAATGAAGCTGAATACATTCATGCGATGTTGCGTACTCAGTTCCATGAGCACATTCACAAATGCCAGATCTCGCACAGACCATGGATTTGGGGAGCAGGTGACCGACCCAAAGTGTCGCAAACCCCTGAGCAGTATCAAGCTGTGGCGATCACCAGGGATGCCCGCATTGATTTGATTAATGCCCATGGCCATGCTATGGCTGATGATGAAGTCAGGTTTCACATCCGTCAGTTGATTGATCGCCAGCCAGCTGCTAGGGACGTTGCCGGCAGTTTCACCTTTTTCGAACCATTGGTTTTCAGTTGCTGGGATTCAATTGGTCCTCGAATCACCGAACAATGGTGTAGTTTGCACCCGGAGATTTTGCGAGAGGGTCGACAGATTGTGTCAGCTGCTGTGATCCAGGACCATTGGTTCCCACTGTGGTTTGTTCCTTCTGATACTGCCATTCAGATTCACACCTTGAATGATATCATTGATGATATGGGACAACTTGAAACTATGATTGGATTCATTGCAGAAAAACTGGGGTTCTCCCATTGGGCCATCCATCGCATTCCACCCGCAATTGAGACTAATGGTTTCTGTGGGGCTTACGCAATGAGCTTCCTGGCTCATGTTATCATGCGTGCTGAGTTGCCTGACGATGCAAGTGAATTGCGTACTTACCACACCAACATGAGAGCCTCGTTTGTGGAATACCTTTACTCTGTGGAGACCACTCCACAGCCAGTGGTTTGTGGCAATGGTCCTACAAGGGAATCCGGGCTACTCCCTATAATGCCCGTTGAACCAGATGCTTCTAATTTGGGAAGTCAGGGGGCCTGTGTTTGCTTTACAAATGTCCCGACGGCTGATCCTCAGATCATGCCATGTGATTTGTGTCTCTGCACCACGAAGGGAATGATCGCTGAAAGCTTTGAGGATCGGGCCTTATTGGCAAAACACAACCGACTGATGATGCTCAGCCGACATGGGTATGCCATGGGGGATGATGAAGTATTATTCCACCTTCAACACCAGATCGACTGTCATGCAACAAGACCTGCGTCCAGCCACCAAGTGAGCCGAGAGTTTGAAGTGATCCCACCATTGATCATGACCGCTTGGATTCATGGTGAACCTGAGCAGTTACAAGAGTGGGTTGCTCAGCACCCAGAGGCAAGACGTAAACACTTGATTTCTGTTGGCTGGATTGAACAACACTGCTTTCCCCTTTGGTTTGTCCCCAACGATGATGCACTGCAATGCCATACGTTTCACACTCCTGATGATGCCAGACTGGATCATGTCACACATGCATTGTCTGAAATGCTAGGGTACACTGCCAGGATTGTTCACCGGGTACCCAATCCAAGATATGAAACCGGCCTTTGTGGCACCATTGCCATCAGTTTCCTTGCGCATATTGTTTTGAGGACTCCCCTTCCATGCAGTGATCTTGACCTGCGACATCGATGTTGGCGAATGAAAGAAACATTTGCTGATTTTGTCCAACCTGATCATGTTCCCCCTGCACTATGGGGATGGGGCTTTCTGTCCGAGTCAAACAAAGTTTGCCAAGCCGTCATGCGAAGTATCATGGACATATGGGAATCCAGGCCACTCCCTAAATTGCCTGAAGGGGAAAAACTTGCTATGGCGAAACACCTGTTTGACCCTCTCATGATTGAATACATTGGTGACACAGGGGAATCCAGGCCACTCCCTAAATTGCCTGTGGTTTTGCTGGATGGAACATGCCAAGAGGATGCTGAAGCCCTTCCGGTCGGCCAGCATGGAAAGTCATTGAGTGACCACCCAACTCATGAAGCTTGTGTGATTGATGGCCCACCGGGGCAACAATGCGTAACCAATGGTGAAATCACTCCCCAGCCTTCAAGTGACGACCTGAAGTTGTACATACAAGGAATCACTGGGTGCCGCCCAGGCATGCTAGGCGTGGTTTGTCAAGACCATGAAGAATTGTGCCACACTTTGCTTTGCTTTGAGCAGGCTGCGGAAGACATCTTGCTTACTGCAATTTTGGAAAGCTCGCGATGGCGTTTGCTGGTTGCTTTCAAATCTGCTTCCTGCCTTCTGGTCTGTTTTGATGACTGCGTCATGTTTAATGGTGTCATCAAGGATCTTTCCCTGCGTACCCTCGCTGCCTCCCTAGTAAGAGTGGAACCGTTCTGTGGAACCTGTGAATTGGATGCCATTCGAAGCTTGGTAGGCCTAACACCAGACCCTGATCAACATGAATTCTGCCATGCCATGCTTGTCGTGTTTGATCGCGCCCAGCCTGACAGAGCTTTCACCATGCGAGAGTGGGACTTACAAAGAGCCCTGAACACATGGACAAGTCGACTTTCGGAATTTTGCATTCAGCTTTGGACCAGCTGTCATACACTTAAGCCACAGTGTTTCACAGGGGAATCCAGGCCACTCCCTAAATTGCCTGGGGATTTGCAGGTTGCCGAGAGTGACCACAATGAGACTTGCCCAGATGGGTATGCTGAACAGCAGACCAATCAGAGCACCCACACCGCCAATCGCAATTCATGGCGTGACCAAATCATAAACCATGATGATTGCTCCCCGCTGCCAGGGGCTATGGGAGATCATGCCATGAGGTTTCATGTCGCCGCACTCACGCAGAATCACCCAGGGACCCGAGGAGCGGTCTGCCTGCAGGAGGATGACTTATGTTGCCAACTGCAGACCTTTGCCAGCGCAGACGAGGAAGTTTTGTTAGTTGCCATTTTGGAAAACATGCATTGGTATCCTTTGGTAGCGTACAAGACTGGGCCCAGTTTTCATGTTTGCTTTGAACAATGCGACATGCCCTGCAGAGCCATCACTGAGTTCACTGAGTGGACCTTCTGCGCTTTCCCTGCCATGGTTGAATCATTTTGTGGAGCAAGGGTTCTCACTGCCTTTCATATCCTGATGGGGTCACCAGCTGGCATCGACCCATGTGCGTTTCACATTGCATTGCAGGATGAGTTTGCAGCTAGTTCGCAAATTGCAGCTGGTGGTAGAACACACTGGGGTTTTGGTCCACAGGGGCAGCTTTTAAAAAATTTGATAGCCGAACTCTCGAAGCACGGTATCCCTGCCTCAGTTGTGGAAAGCAGGGCCCAAGATGCAATCCAGGCTTTGGGAAGTGAACAAATCATTTCGGCCTTGAACCACCGTAATCCGTGGAAACAGTTGAAGCTTTTGGGTAACAATTCGAGGTTTCAGTTCGTGATGCACGTGGAAACAGTTGAAGCTTTTGGGTAACAATTCGAGGTTTCAGTTCGTGATGCCAAGTGAGTTGGCTGCATCGGTTGAACAGAACCAAGGCAAGGCCATCACTGGAAAAGGCAAAGGAAAAGGCAAATCCAAAGGTAAGAGCTTTCCCCCGGTGGTTGAGCTTGATCCTTGCAAGTTGCAAATTCTGGAGGGTACGTTTTGCTGTCATGACCGTGTTTTACCCCAACTCCGTCCGAACCAGATTGGCCCCATCAGCAGTGGTGTAATCCTCATGTCTCACCAAGAGGCCGAGCCCTACCTGCGTGCAGGCAAATTGGTTTCACAGGAACCTTTGGCAATTGCAGTCCTTGCCAAACATGGTGACGGGCTCAACACAGCGTTGCCCCATGCAGAGATCACAGTGCCATGCCGATGTACAGTTGACTCTGAACCTGTATTAGCTGATGCGGTACTGATCCAACTTGGCAAGGGATTGGTTGAAAAAGTCGTTAGCAAAACGGTTGTGCACATTGATTCTTTGGATGTGGTCACACTCAAAATTTTGGTGTACAAAGATGAAATCAGAGGAGATTGGGAAGACTTTTGTCAATCACCCATCCGATACCTTGTGAGCATGTTGCCCAAACTCAAAAGGTGCCACCAGGCTGATTGCCAATGTGATGCTTGGCACAACCAGGAGCATCTCGAAGTGCGTGATCCCATCCTAGATGTCTGGCGGCGGCAATACCTCCGCTCGGGTTTTAAACCTAGCCAGGCGTCTAAAGCTGACATGTTCTCTGTTTGCCTCCGAATCCCTCGAGCCTTGCTGGACATCCTGTTGTCAGCCAGTGGCACAGGAGGGGTATACTGTGAACCGCGGTCAGCCGACGGCACTGAAATTTTGCCAGAATAATTTACTGTAGCCTGGACGCCCAAGCACACTTTGCAAGAGATGCTTCATTTGATGCAGACCAACCCGGCGGTGACAGGCCTGACGCGGTTAGGTGAGAGACGCGGGCTGAGGGTTCACACTTCTCAGGCTAAGAGCATCCACCAACTAGTGAGGCCAGAAGCTGTTTACCTTCCCAATGGTCCCCGCTGTGTGTATACGGTAGGCCCGATGCCATATGGAGTTGACCGCCAGGCAATCGTGAAAATACTGTCCCAGTCTGGATGGGAGTGTAGGCCGCTTCAACCCACCACCCCATGCCCTGGAAGAGGTGCAATGTGGTTGGTTCAATCCACGGAGGAACCACCACAGCCCATTATCCACACCACGCATGGAGAAATTGTGATTGTCAAACAACAGAAAGAGCAGGCTGACCAAACAGCCAAGTCTCACCCTGTTGGAGCTGCCTCCACGCTTGCCCTTTGTGGTACTGGTTCCAAGCCCATGCCTGACAGTGACCCATGGTCCAAAGCTGACCCATGGGGAGGATACAAGCCAAGTAGTCATGCCCCGGCCACTGGTCTCACCGAAGGCCTCCAGCAGATCGAAAGTCGCATCCAGCAAGCTGTGTTGGACAAAATGCAGCCACCGATGGAGCAGGATGACATTCCCGAGCGTGTCCATGCGCTTGAAGGCCAAGTACAACAATTGCTTGCCCAACAGCAGGGCTTTGACACCCAGTTGAAAGACTTTGGGAACCAGCATACACAGCAGATCAGTGCACTGCAAGGACAGATCAACTCACAGTCTCAGCAGTTGCACGGCCACCTGGAAAATCAGAACCAAACAATCCAATCCCTCTTCGAGCAGCAAATGTCGCAGATTAGAGGTCTCTTGGCAAAAAGACCACGAGAGGAGGGGATGGAATGATGGTGTGGCCGCGGGTTCCCTTTGCACCTGCCGTTTTGGTGGTTGATTTGGATGCTGGAATGGCTTGTCACAGGAACCTGGGGCCTTTTACAATGGGTTATCTCTACTTTTGGGGGAAGGGCGTTTTGCCTTGCTACAGCCAGCCATGGATGTAGGAACATCAGATGGGCGCAAGTTTTGCTGGTGTTGCTCGTGTTCAGAATTGGGGAAGCCGCCAATCCTGGCCCGCCTGATGCTACTTTTTCAATCGGAGCCTTCAATCCCAGTGGGCTCAAGGGAAAAGCACCCTATTTAGTTTCACAACTTGCCCAAGGGGATATTTGGGCTGTCTCGGAGACCCACCTTTGCCGGCAGACCATGCAGGCATTTCGCTCTAGCTTGCATTTTGCACAGAGCCCGTACAAGTATTGCGTTGGAGGCCATCCAGTGCCTTCTCAATTTTGCAGACAGTTTCACAACGCCTGGAGAGGTGTGGCTATCATGTCCAAGCACCCAACTCGTGCCTTGCCAACCAATTGGCAACCTGCCATTGCGGAATCCTCCCGTGCCTTAATTGCAGCCACACTGCTACATGATGTTTGGATCACAGGGGGAGTGGTTTATGGGGAGCCTGAGAGCAGTATGTACCCCCAACAAAAGGAAAATACTGAAGCTCTCCTACAGAGTGTCATTGGCCAGGTGTGTTATTTGTCAAAAGGACCTAGATATGTGGCCGGAGATTGGAACGTGGCTGCTGACATGGTTCCTGCGTTTGACACTTTACGTGAAGCAGTCTTTGTTGATCTCCAAGATCTTGCATTGATGCGCTGGGGTTGCCCAATCCAACCCACCTGCAAATCTAGAACAAGGAAGGATTATTGCTTTGTTTCACGTGAACTTCAAAACCTCCTGACCTCTGTAACTTTGGATGACACTGTTTTTCCGGTCCATGCAGTCTTGAAGGGAGAATTCTTGTTTTTGCACAATGTTATCCCCAAGCAGGTTTGGCTCACACCCATGCAGTTCCCATGGCCGGTTGAATGGGACGTTGGCCCTGAGTTTTGGTCACGAACTGAGGGCACATGTGATTCTAGGTATAGCCAATTGTGGAACCACATTGAATTGCAGGCATGTGCTCAGGTTCCGTTTCCAGTCCCAAAGCGTGCACGTGGGCGTGCCGCCACTCAGCAGACCAAACCGGTTAAGGAGGGGAAGATTTCTCCCCCAAGGTTGCCCGTAGAGGTGAAATTCAGCCACACTTCTTGTCAGCATCGTACCGGCATTCCCAATGGCTGCGCCAAACCAGACGGCTACAGTCATATGTTAGATATGTCAAGACTCAGTCCCCTTTGACTGACCATGCCCGTGCATTATGGGGGGCCATCCTGCGCTCCACTGGTTTTCACCCCAACTTTCCAGTATGGTGGGCTACTAGTTCCCATAGAACCCTTGGTGCCCCTGAGGTCGTGCCATTTGTGCCACCACCTGGTTTGGTTGCCGAACAAATCTTTGACTCTATGGCCATTGCCTTCCGTGCCTTGGAGTGTGAACTCCACAAGGCTTCCGGCCTTTATGCAAGACAGAAGAGGGACCAGAATCCAAACATGATTTTTCAGGACCTCAAACCGCATGCTGACAAAGGAGTTGGCATTCTCACGCGCGCCCGTCAGACGCGCATTGTGGATGTCAACCATGCCGAGGAAGCCATTGTCTTGGAACCTCCCATTAGGTTTGAAAGTGAACACGCGATTTACTGTAATGGTAAAGCCCTCACGCCCATCCATGTTGAAGATGATTGTTTATGGCTTGAAGACACCAGTGACCTTCAAGTAGGTATGCCAATTTCTCAGCCCATCTTTCAGGGCACTGACCAGGAATTGTTTACCCTCTTTAGCGAAGCATGGAAACAGATGTGGGATAGGCACAGGCATGTTTCACCAGACAGATGGGCACAGATTTTGAGTTTTGCACGCCAACACTTGCCTCGTGGCTCTTTCTCTTGTGCTCCCTTGGATGCACCCCAGTTGCAGCACTGCATTGCCCACAAGAAGGCCACCACGTCTGGAGGCCTGGATGGTGTTTCACTGGTTGATTTGAAAGCGATGCCACCAGCTGCCCTAACCAATTTCATCCATATGTTCCAAGAGGCTGAAGAAACGGGGGAATGGCCCAGTCAGGTCATTGCCGGCAGGGTGACTTGCTTAGCTAAGGTTGAAGAACCCCAGCATGCGTTAGACTTCCGTCCCATTACCGTGATTGGGCTTCTGTATCGTTGCTGGGGGACCTTTAATGCCAAACAAGCAATCCGTAGAATGGAATCTGCACTGCCAGTTGGACTTTTTGGTAGCCGACCCCAATGTTTTGCAGGCCAGGTCTGGTCCCAACTGTTATGGACGATCGAGTTGGCTTACCACTCTGACACCTCGTTAAGTGGAATCATTGCTGACTTACGTAAGGCTTTCAATTATTTGCCCAGGGCAGTGGTGATGGAGTGCTGCGCATTAGTTGGCCTCCCATTTCGGGTGCTCAGAGCTTGGTCAGGTGCCCTGTCTGGAATGCAACGTAGGTTTCAGGTGAATGGCAGCCTTGGTCCCCCGATCTCTAGCACATGTGGGCTGCCGGAGGGTTGTGCTCTTTCCTGCGTTGGAATGATGGTTGTTGACATGATTTACCATGCTTGGATGCTGCATTACTTCCCATTGTGCCAGCCCCTGTCATATGTGGACGACTGGCAGGTCCTCCTGACGGACCCTGCCAACCTGTTGCCAGCGTTTCAGTGTCTTGAGGGTTTTGTGCAAGCTATGGACCTTTCCCTTGATCAGCGGAAAACATCCACATGGTCCATCACTGCTGAAGGTAGACAATGCATTCGTAGGCAGGGTTTTGGCATGGTTGCTTCTTGTAAGAACCTGGGGGCGCATGTTCAATTCACTAAGCAACACACGAATAAAACCATGATGGACCGTGTCGCGAAAGTGAGCCCGTTGTGGGCCAAGTTGCGCCTCTCCCCGAGTGCATATCAACAGAAAATTCGGGCCATCAAATGTGCGGCTTGGCCCATGGGTTTGCACGGCATTGCCGCCACCACACTGAGTCTGGCTACCTTCCAGTCCTTGCGCGCAGGGGCCATGAAGGGGTTGAAAGCAGATAGCCCAGGCGCCAATGCATGGGTACAGCTAGGGTTGATTGAGAAGTGCTCCACAGATCCTCATGTTTGGGCCACCTTACAGACCTTCAGATTGACCCGGGATTGTGGTTCACAACCAAGGGTGGAGGAAGTCATGGCCGAAATTGCTGCGGGGCAGGATCATTTGCCAAGCAATTCCATCACCCACACACTTGTGACACGAATCCAGCTTTTGGGATGGCAAGTTACCACTGATGGAAAATTGCAGGATATGATCGGGGGTTTTTCACTGTTTCAAGTTTCCATTGCTGAACTGAATGTTCGGGTTGAGTTGCATTGGCCGTTTGTGGTTGCTGCGGTGGTGTCCCACCGCCCGTGTTTCCAAGGTATCAGTAGCTGTGACCCTGACGCCGCACGAAGATGGCTTGGTGAGCTCGATAGTTCAGACAGAGCCCTGTTTCGGAAAATTCTTAACGGAGCCCACATCACCCAGGATGGTAAAAAACATTGCCAAGAAAGTGATAGTGATGTCTGCCCATTTTGCCCATGCAGTGACAGTCGGTTTCACCGTTTTTGGGAGTGCCCCCAGTTCGCTTCACACCGGAAACACTTATCCAAGTTTGACCTTAACACGGTTGTTTCATTGCCGGAGTGTTTAACAGCTTGTGGGTGGGCATTACATCCTACCACACAGTGGGAGTGGCTCCAGCACCTTGCAAGCGTTCCCAATCCATGCCCTAGACCTTTGCAGCTCACGGGCCCTTTGCACTTGTTCACTGATGGTAGTTGCCACAATCAACATTGTGCAGTGACTCGTTTTGCAGGTTGGTCGGTCATCCTGGCTTCCTTTGATTGGGTTTCACCACCAGGTAGCAGTAGGGAGCTGGCAGTCGGGCATTTACCTGGGATTTTGCAAAGTGCGGTGCGCGCCGAAACCTTTGCTGTTTTGCAGGCCTTGCTCTTGACCCAAGACCATCCAGACTCGGTCACCATTTGGACCGATTGTGAAGCAGTTGTTAAGAAGTTGCGCCGTGTTTTGGCCGGACACGACATTGCGGCTAACAGTGCCTCACGATGACCTGTGGCGCGACATTGTGGACTGTGTGCGGAATCGGAAAGGCCCCACATCGGTGATTAAGGTTGCGGCTCATCAACGAGTCGATTCAGCTGTGCGAGTGTTGGATGAGTGGTGTTTCTTCCATAACAATTTTGCAGACCAGAGTGCGGTACGTGTTAACACTAATTGAAGTCTGGAATTTTGGGAGCTGCATGGAAGACATACCCAAGCCTACGCAGCCATTACAACCATCAACCGCATGGTGCAGCGGGTACAGTTGGCGATTAGCCGTGAAGTGGTTAGGGCCGACTCTCCAAAATTTGTTGAGGTGCCGCCGCAGGAGATGGAACTCCCAACGCCTGACAGTCGGTGGAAACTGCCTCCCCTTACGGTGCCTGCAGCAGCAGTCCGATGGTACGGGGACACTATTGTGCGCCTTTTAACCAGTTGGCTCTGGCAATCTGTTCAGACCAGTTCACATCCGGTGGTTTGGATATCGCATTTCCAATTGTACGTGGATTTCATGGCCTCGACGGGCAACCCTGGCCCAATTCATCGAAGCAAGTGGCTGAATGGAGCAGATATCCCTAACTTAAGCCTGTTAGGATTTGGTTTCAAGCAACGCACGAGGTGGTTCATCAAAATTGTCAAGGAGACACTTCGCCATCAACAAGTTTCCCTGCCGTACGCATACGGTAAGCCGAAATCTCATATGATCTTGTTTCACACGGGATGCATAGGCCTGCCATGGGACCCTGAGCGTATCACCCTGATTGACCAGTGGTTGCTCAAACATTCCTGCCAGACCTTTCGCCGGCAAAGCAAGCTCCTCGATGCCCTGCCATTTGCCGATAGATGTGTGCAATTCCCAGAGGTCTTTTTATCTTCGGTTTAGTTCACGCCCAAGACGGGCGGCGTCCCTGAACAACGCCGCGCGCAACGGAAAGGTGGAGAAAGGTGGTGGTTTCAAACATGTTGAATATTTTCTATTTCATTTTTTTGGGTTGTCATCCTTCCCATTATTCATTGACGAACTCCATCATTTTTCAAGATGGTTATTGCACCACCAACCAGTGATGGTAATGCCTACTAAAAACCGGAACTCGTCGAACATGGCCATAGACATAGTGGATTTATCCATTAAAAATGGTGATTTTTCACAGTTACGTTAGTTTACCAGAAGGTACAGTACAAGATATATGGCAACATACTGTGGATGCATAAAATCCTGCACCAGTTGGTAACTATTGGTAACTATGAAACACTATAAATAATGGGATTATAAGAGGATAAACCATCTACCAACTGGTGCAGGATTTCTTCCACATTATGCGGACATGCGTACACCTTCAACACCTGGACCTGAACATCATGGTAGCTTGGAAACCAAGATACGGCGTTCCCAGCAGCCATGCTTCATTTTGCACTTTGCTTTGCTGGCAGGTACCGTATCAGAGTAAAATAGAATATTGTTGAATAATATGATCACATTGTATCCCATTGTAATCCCATAAAATCCCATTAGACTTCCATTATAGTCCCATTATAATCCCTTTATAATTCCATAAAATCCCCTCAAAATTCCCATAACATCCTATTAAGATCCCATAAAACCCACTGTTTGAGCGTGTCTTTTGAAATTGCATACCGATCCAAAAAGTTGCTGGCGAGTTTCGCAGCGAGTACCCATGCAAGACGGTTTAAAGTGGGAAACCCAAGGCCAATGCCACAACTACCATTTCGGAATGGTTGAGATCGCATCCATAAAAATGGTAACTTATTGGGGATGGTTTACCCATAGGATCCATGTATGCTATATATGGTAACATGTACCATCAATATACCCCAAATGTTAGCATATATACCATGTATCCTATGGGTTATGAAATTGGATTTACGAACGTTACTTCGTGTCCATTCTTTTCATGGAATTCCGGAGTACTTTTTGGTACGAACGGTTGTCCAGGTGTTATGTAGACACACATCCTATTGCTCAAGACCTCAACGTAGATATCCCTGGCGAAGTATACAGCTTCACTGGCTGATGGGACAGCCGGGCAGTGAGATCCCCCTTATGGTTTCATGCCTGGATGACAAGCTAAACATCGCTGGGATATCAAAGTTGGTCAGCTCTTCATGGAACCATGATTGAGTCACTATGGGAATGAGTAAGCCCAGAAATTTTCGACATGGTTTTCATACACTCTCAATGGTAGAATTTGGTAAAATTTAATGAGGTTTGATGTGCTGTTGGGTTTACCACAGCCCCGCTGTTTAGGTGAGGCGTGCTGTTGGTTACCCTCCAGTAAACTAACATTGCTTTGGAACATGGATGAATATGGATGAACGTGGATGATTTATATGGATTTACTTATCAGAAATGGTCATGTTCCAGTTCGCTAACTTAGGTCGTATCCTGGGAAGCTCTGCACCCAATATATCCAAAAGGTGGTGGCCCTCAGGGTTGGTCAATGATTTTTGTATTTTTTGTTTTTGTTCTTTTTAATTATTATTTTATAGATGTTTGACCTACTAGAAAAATGATGATTTTCTAGGTATGTTGGTTCAGAACCCACATGAATATTACAGATATCAATAGATATCTATAGATTCCCTATAGATATCTATAGATATACCTACCATGCACCATAGATTTTACCTGTAGTCCTTTCACCTAGTTCCGCAGGTCAGCAGCGGTGACCAATACGGGGCTCTTGATTTTTGCCGTACTGGTGCCGGGGATGAGATGGCGTCGCTGGAAGGATACCCTGCTGGTAACTGTGGAAAATCCCAATTTTAATATAGGTATATGATAGGTAAATGATATAGGTATGATTTTGATACCATTATATATATAGTAAATATATATATATAGTGTATATATATATAGTATATATATATATATAGTATATATATATATATAGTATATATATAGTATATATATAGTATATATATATAGTATATATATAGTATATATATAGTGTATATATAGTGTATATATATAGTATATATATAGTATATATATATATATATAGTATATATATAGTGTATATATATATATAGTATATATATATAGTATATATATACTATATATATATATACTATATATATATACTATGTCTTCACGCCCCCGGGAGTAAAGAATAATCACCATCCCCACTTTTACATCTGTAGTGTTTCGGCTTCAGCTTGAATGGCATGCCCTAGGTGCCGGGTGTTCAAGGGAACTCCGGCGTGCGGGGCGTGCCTAGCCGGCGCGCGTATTCTGGGGATCCTCCAATCAGGAGGCCTACCCGTCTGCGAGGAGCGGCGGGTCACAGGCCTCCTGCGGGGGGTCGCGGGTGAGCTCGCCGACCTGGTCGAGAGCCGCCCGGCAGGTGAAGAGACCCGCAGGGGGACTTCGCCGCCCAAGGGGGGAATATCTGGCCTGACCCCCGGGCCAAACGCAGGAGTCGCTGTAAAGGCCGAAGAGCCTGGCAGCGAGGGCTCCTTTGAGGAAGAGGGAGAAGAGGAAGAGCCAACTTGCCCTGACCAGGCCGTCGAGGCGAGTGGTGAGGAGGTAGACAAGAAAGACAAAGAGCCTCCCAAGGAAGGTGCCGTCAGCAAGGACAAGAGCAAAGCAGCCGAGGATTTAGAGAAGGAGCCCAAGCATAAGGAAGAGCAGAAGAGGACACTCAACCCTAAGTTTAATCCTCGCTACTTGACCCAGAGGTTGGAGTTATATCCCACTGGGAAGGCCTCAGCAAAACCGGAGAAGTCACGTGGCAGCGCAGTTGCCCCTCCTACGAGAACTTCAGGAGAGGGAGAAAGGAGCAGGCGAGAGGAGCCCGATAGGAGGTCGAGAGATCGAAGGGGACACAGCCCCGCAAGAGGAGAGAGAGACGACGAGGGCCATCGACGAGGAGAGAGGCAGTCAAGGGTGCGCCACGGGAGCGAGCGACCTGCCTCCCCGGACAGGCCCCCATTGCCCAGGAGGCCACAAGAGGCCCCTAAGAGAAGAAAAAAGAAAGACAAAAAGAAGAAGAACAAGGGACAGAAGAGGCGCAACAGAGGCAGAGAGTTCAAGGAGTGGACAGAAGACCGGAAGAGGAGACGGGGTCAGTGGCACTGATGCCGCCCAAAGCCAAGGTGAGGGCGAAAGCCAAAGCAAAGGGTTTCCCTATGAGGCGGCCTGCAAGGGTGGTGCGGCCTGGCGGTCTGCGTCGCCCGGCTGCGGCGCCCGAGGGAGACTCTCCATGGAAGAGGGGTCTCCCCCAGAAGTTGGTGGAGGTGCCGCTGACGGAGTTCGCAACCGGTCTCTTCTTGGTTGCAGAGGAGGCCGACTACTTTGGGGGCAATATCAAACTCGCTGGCGAGATCACGAAACTGGAGGTAGAGAAAGGAGAGACTACACTCTACCTCCATGCAAAGGGGACCGACAGCGAAGCTTTGCTGAAAGCCCATACCAGCCAACCACAAACTTGGTTCAAGTGTCACGTGTGCCCGGAGGGGTGCACGAGACAGGTGACAGGAGATTATGTGGTGCATCTCCTGAAAGGACGAAAAGGCCGTACAGAAGGAGAGGAGGAATGGACCAGAAACCTAGAGGTGATGAAGCGCGGAGACGACAAGGAGGACGAATTGGGGAACCTTCGGAGGAGGTCACAGGAGATAGCTCAACAGCAGCGGGAGGAGGGCCTTCCTCCCGAGGAGGAGCCAGGAGGGACTCCCAAAGGACAAGAGGGAGAACCCTCCTTGGAAAGAAAGAAGAAGAAGAAGAAGGAAAAGAAAAAGAAAAAGGACAAAGGCCTGGAAAATGGACGGCATCCGGCTTTAGCCGCCCAGAAAGAGGTGAAAGAGCTCTATCAAGGAACGGGCCTGGATCCTCGGGAGCACATCAGGCGGAGGATACAGAAGAAGGCACAAAAGTTCCTATCGAAGAAGAGGAGCAGAAGCAGCAGTGGAGCGTCCAGCGGCAGCAGTTCGACCAGCTCCCCCTCCCTCGAGGAACCACGGGGGGTGGAGGGAGTCTTCACCGAAGACACCAAAGTTCGGGCCCTGGCCGAGCGCTACCCGGGCACGCTAGCAGTGGAGGCAATCAGTGCTATGAGAAGGTCCCTACTTACCACCAGTGGGGAAGAGATGGACGAGTCGGCCATCAGACCGGTGGCACTCCTGTATTACAGGACGGTCCTGGCAAGGCGCACCTCAGGTCCACAGAGCAGAGAGATGCTGAACCTGAGTGCAGCCTTGGACCTCCTAGTACGGGGGAAGCCAGCTTGCGCCGCCGACCTCATAGCCCAACGGCTAAAGGCGCAGGAGGCGGTGAGCCAGGGCACAAGCTGGGCAGTGGCGCAGAGGATGGAGTTGCCACCCCCGGAATTGCCTGGCTTGGTGGCGAGGGCCGAGCTGGCGAGTGCGCGCAAAGAGGAATACGAGGAGGCCCGGACTCGTTGGCGAGCGGCGCAAGGATCAGGAGGAGGAAAGAACGAGCACAAGGGCAAGGGCAAGAGCGGCAAAGGAGAAGGACAGCCTTGGAGGAGAGAGGATCGACGCGACGATGGCAAGGACAAGCAGAAGGGCAAAGGGCAAGAGAAGAAAGGGGGCTAACTCCTGAGATGATAAGTTCGGACAGGAGTGAGCCTGGTATGAGCAAGGATCCTCCTAAGGGTGCAGGAGGAATGGACACTTTTGTGCGAAATGACCGGGGCGTCTTTGAAGACCCTGGCCAGGCCGCGAATATCGGGGAGGATAGGTTTTTTACACCGGTCCAGAAGAGCCCTGATCTTTTTCCACCGGTACCTCCCAAGAATTATCCGGGAGATGTGCCTTTTGGTGCCACAGCAGCACCGTATGTTTCATCCACCTTTGATGGGATTGACCATCACCTTGCAGCTGACTTGGCTGCAACTTCGGAAAGGCGGAAAAGAGAGATGGAGCCGTTTTCAGGGAAGAGAGTTTGTGATTTGGGAGGATATGTCCTTGAGGAGCTCTTAGGGGTTGTTTCACTTCGCAGCTCGACCAAGGGCATGAAGGGGTCTCATGACATCTTTCCTCTGCCTACCTCTAAGAGTATACTGGGAGACATCCTACCCCATTTTGATGAAAGAGGCCTTGGATGGATGCAGGCTGTATGTTGTTCCCTTAATTCTATTTGGGGGGGTGATGCTGTTTTTGACGGAAAGGCCAATGAAGGGTGCACTCAATGCATTCGTCTTCTTGGAAAGGACGTTCTGAGGTTTCAAAATTTGGAGTTGGTATTGGATGATTTTTCTTGGATAGATTTTTTCGCAACAAGGTCTATAGACTACAAAGGAGACGAAGTCAAAACGGCCAGAAGTTTCTCCTGGGAAAATATTAGACATGCACTTCCCAACGAAGTCGGAAGAGTTCCACTAGAAGAGGTCTGCACTTTAGGTGCTAGACATTATGTCCAACACTTTGACTCGTTCATTAAGTCCCCTGATCAATGGGTGATGGGGCGTCCACCACGTGTGATGGTGGAAGACAAAGACTGGGCTGGAGTCTGCACCGGACTAGTGGAAAGTGGGGTCTGCACGTTTTTGGAGCGGGAGGAGGTTTTTGCTACAGGCGAGAGTCTCCTGCTCAACGGGTTATTTGGGGTCACCAAAGATGAATGGGTCGGGAACACGGAAGTCTACAGACTCATAATGAACTTGGTGCCCCTCAATGGGATTGCCCACAGCCTGAAAGGAGACGTAGAAACACTTCCAATGTGGTCACTCATGAACCCGTTTTTTCTGCAGCCTCACGAGAAGCTACTGGTTAGTAGCGAAGACGTTCGATGCTTCTTTTACACAATGAGTGTGCCTTGTTCCTGGTGGAAGTACTTGGCTTTTAACAAGGTTGTCCCCCAAGCTTGTCTTCCTACCCATCTTCAAGGAGCAGAGGTATATCTTGCGGCAAAGGTCCTCCCAATGGGATTTCTCAATAGCGTTTCCCTGGCGCAACACGTGCATCGCAACCTATCTCTATGGAGTGCTGGGCATGACCCTGAATGCGATGAGAATCCTCCAGAGGGTGAGATCCGGAAGGATCGGCCACTCACAGTTAAGAACCCCAGCTGGAGGATATATCTCGACAATTACGACCTGCTTGAGCGGGTGAACGCCCTGGGAGTGTCCCAGCAACAGGGTACGGTAGCGCCAGCCGTATTAGCTTTGAGGCAGGAGTACGAATATTGGGACATCCCCAGGAACCTGAAGAAAAGCGTGAGTAGGCAGCTTCGGGCAGAAGTACAAGGAGCACAGGTTGACGGCGAAGATGGAGTGGCTTTCCCTAGAGAGACCAAGTTGGCAAAGTACCTAGCGGCTGCATTGGCGTTGGTTCAACTGGAGACGGTCACGCAGCGACAGCTCCAGATGGTATGTGGAGGGTTGGTGTACTTCTCCATGTTTAGGTCTCCTGTGCTGTCTCAACTCTGTGTGGCAGTTTATTGAAAGTTTCAACCAAGGTGGGAAAGCAGTGCGTACATTGCCAAGCCAGCGTCGTCTGGAGATCCTTCGGTTTGTAGGTCTCCTGCCGTTGGCACGCTTAGATTTCAGAATTCCAGTTCATCCAGTGGTTTCGTGCAGTGATGCTTCAACATCGGGAGGCGGGGTTTGCGCCTCCCTTGGGCTCTCCGCATGGGGACGTTTGGTCGTTACTGGTAGCCTGAGGGGTGAATTGCCTGAACTCCGGCAGGAACATCAGGTTCTGACCATCGGGCTTTTCGATGGGATCGGAGCCCTTCGTGTGGCAGCTGACCTCATAGGTCTACAACTTATCGGCCACATCAGCGTCGAAAGCAATGCTCAAGCCTCACGGGTGGTGGAGTCGCACTTCCCGGATGCGCAGTTTGTGCAGGACGTTCAAGCCGTGGACTGGGATATGGTCCGGGAGTGGGCTCGGTGCTACTCCCAAGCTTCGGTGGTGCTGCTGGGCGGCGGACCCCCGTGTCAGGGGGTCAGTGGACTGAACGTGGACAGAAAAAGGGGCCCTGCGCGACGAAAGATCCCGTTTATTCACACATGTACCCCGCATCCTTGCATTGGTGCGCAAGGCATTTCCCTGGTGCCAAGTACATGCTTTGATGGAAAGTGTTGCCTCAATGGATAGAGGCGATCGTGACACCATGTCAGATGAATTTGGGTCACTCCCTTGGAAGTGCGATGCAGGCACAATGTCCTGGTGCAGCCGGCCGCGGTTGTACTGGCTGACCTGGGAACTATCGGAGCAGGAGGGGTGTACTCTCCTTTGTGATCGGGAGGTGGCTGAGGTAGTGTTAGTAGCCTCCCAGAACCTGGAGCTGGTATGCAAGGAAGGTTGGATGAAGTACGACTGCCAACGTGCTTTCCCAACTTTCACTACTTCTCGCCCCCGGTCAAACCCGGGGCGCAAACCAGCCGGGCTCATGCAATGTGACCAAGAAGATGTGGCCAGGTGGACAGCGGACATGTACCGGTACCCTCCCTATCAATACATGCAGAAAAATCTGATGATCGGACGCACCGGCGAACTCAGATTGCCCAGTATTGAAGAGAAAGAGTTTATGATGGGGTTTCCAGTCAATTACACAATCAATGCAGTCCCCAAAGGGCAAAGAGGTACGCAGGCTCACCTGGACCTACGGCACACCCTTATTGGGAACAGCTGGTCCGTACCTGTTGTTGCCTGGTTGATCTCCCAGCTTTTCGGGAGGTTGGGTTTGTGCCCCTGGTTCACACCGCAACAAATTATGGAGATGCTCACCCCGCAAGGGCAAGTGTATTTGCAAACCCAGCTATGGAGGCCCCCGCTCAGGCCGCTCCGACGAGTTGACAAAGGAGACCAAGGACAGTTAGTGCAGAAACTGTCCCACCTCATCAGTATTAAAGGGGAGGATATCCTGTTCAACACACCGTCGTCACACATGTGCAAGTATCATCGCCTTCGGGCATCAGTGCCATCTAAGTTGTGGCGCTGGAAGGTCATTGCTGGGCGGCGGTGGTCAGGGCAAAAAGAACACATCAACAGCTTGGAAATGCGAGCCGTGCTCACCGCGCTCAAATGGAGGCTGGAACACCGCCATCAGGTGGGACATAGATTCCTGCATTTGGTTGACAGCCTGGTAGTTCTCCATGCGTTGGCCCGCGGAAGATCCAGTAGTAGAAAATTACGCTCCCCTCTGTCTAAGATTAATGCCCTCTTGTTGTGCAGTTCCTCCACCGCCCTATGGGGCTATGTCCACACAGAGCAAAACCCCGCCGATGCACCATCCCGGTGGGGGCGACGCGTCAGAACAAAATTTAGAAATGCCTAAACGTGTGTTGGAAGGGAACTCACAGGTCGAGAGGGCAAGGCAAAGACAGAGAATGGGAACGTTAAAGGATCTTACAGTCCAACCGGCTACTAAGGCACGGTATAACAACGCTGTTGACCAATTCCTCGCTTTTCTGCACAAAAACAACATGGATCTCCCGAAACAACGCCAACACCTGGATGGCCTAGTTTGTGAATATCTAGAACACCTCTGGTCCCAAGGTTTTGGTCGGGGGCTAGCTAGCGATACTGTCGCTGGCCTGCAGGACATGGACCCGAAAATTCGGGGTCACCTCCAAGGCTCCTGGAGGTTAATGAAAACATGGAGTATGAATGAGATCCCCAGTCGAGCGCCACCATTGCCCGAGCATGTATTACATGCCATGGTAGGCTGGTCCTTGTTCCATGGACATGCTAGCTTTGCAGTGTCCTTGTTGGTCGGATACTATGCTATGCTACGAACTGGAGAATTAGGGAGCCTACGGGCGACACACGTGATGTGTGCGGAGCACCATGATCAGGTCATTGTGTCCCTGGGTTTAACTAAGGGCGGCAAGCGTCAAGGTGCCGCTGAAAGTTGTGTCCTAGGGTACGACATGGTGGTTGCTTTCGTGAAACGTTGGAAATCACTTGCTTCCCCCACCGAGGGGTTTGCCTCTACTCCAGCCAAATGGCGGAGCCTGTTTAATCAGGCTCTCGAAGCTTTAGAGTTGCAAAGTTTTGCTTTTAGACCATACAGTCTAAGACGTGGGGGCGCCACATGGTGGTTTAGCCGTCATCATTCTCTTGACAAGATCCTGGTACAAGGCAGATGGCAGGCTGCTAAAACAGCCAGGATCTATCTCAATGAAGGGTTGTCAGTTCTAGCTGAACTCCGACTCCCTAGTAACCGCCCCTCTTTAGCTCCTTTTCTCAAACTTTTCCGTTCTCATCGTTCTTGCCCCTCATTCTCAACACTTGAGCCTCCTCGCCAAAGGCAAGGAAGTTCAGGGGGCCGTGGAAAGAAGCCCAAAAAACGGGCTGAAGCTAAGAAGAAGCGTTCAAAAACGCCCTGATCACCTTGTTTTTGATTTTTGTGGAAACCGGTTTCATCCCTTCGGGATCTTCTTTGGTACCCCTGGCTTTGTGTGTGGGGTGGCTTGGCCCAATATCACAAAGAGGGGTTTGGAAGGGTTCTGTTTTTTTGGGATGGAGCCACGGGCTTGGCCGGGCTACCATCGGCGGAATTTATTTCTTTGAGGAGTTTCTCAATTTCTTGTAACAAACCTGCTGCGAAGTGATGAAAAAAGGGGCTGTGTGAGAACTCTTTGTCTTCACGCCCCCGGGAGTAAAGAGTAATCACCATCCCCACTTTTACATCTGTAGTGTTTCGGCTTCAGCTCCCACACCCCCCTCCCAGTTTTTCGGGAGGAAAGAAGCCCAAAAAACGGGCTGAAGCTAAGAAGAAGCGTTCAAAAACGCCCTGATCACCTTGTTTTTGATTTTTGTGGAAACCGGTTTCATCCCTTCGGGATCTTCTTTGGTACCCCTGGCTTTGTGTGTGGGGTGGCTTGGCCCAATATCACAAAGAGGGGTTTGGAAGGGTTCTGTTTTTTTGGGATGGAGCCACGGGCTTGGCCGGGCTACCATCGGCGGAATTTATTTCTTTGAGGAGTTTCTCAATTTCTTGTAACAAACCTGCTGCGAAGTGATGAAAAAAGGGGCTGTGTGAGAACTCTTTATATATATACTATATATATAGTGTGTATATAGATATATATATATATATAGTACTATATATATAATAGTATATATATATAATAGTATATATATAATAGTATATGTATATATAGTAACTATATATATATAGTAACACATATATATATAGTATATATATATATATAATATACATATATATATATAATATACATATATAGTATGGGCCATGTTCAATAGCTATGTGAAATTACCATAGGGTAAATGATGGCAAGCTGGGAAATATCCAAGGTCTCCATGAAGGTTTCGCTGGGTCTTTTTTTATATCCTCATTCTATTCCCAGTTGTATTTATACATAAACCCTATAGATTGGGAAATGTTTGCTTGGGAAATCTATCCATAGATGATGTCCGATGTCCTCTTCTTTTTGGTTGGCTTATGTTTGTTGAGACCCCCCGATGAAAACCAACCAATAGGTAGATGAGAATAAATGGTGTACCAAACCGGCCCGTGTATTTTTCCTAGAAGGAGAACATGGATTCGAAAGCTGTAGGTGGTGATGTCAGCAAGAATATCTAAGGAGCTTTGACCATGTAATTTGCGGGTGTGCTTGCAATGGGTATCAATAATATCACAAAGAGGTCCTAACAGCAGATACCAACATAGTGGGGTTTGCCAACATAGTGGCTATAATTCAACACACAAAGGTTCAACATGGGTCCTTTTACCATGATTAAGCCATCCAAAATATTGTGTTAAGTCTACTGTTGAGTGCTACTACTATAACCATCCAAAATTCAATGCAGATGGGTGGTGACCTTTTTTGTAAGCATGGGGATGGTCATCACTTGATTTTGATACCAATCAGATAATCACCATCAATTCAGATCTCTGTTTCCCAAACTTGGATGCGAACATCTGCAGGGTTTTTGCTCAAAAATATTAGTGATACAACGGTTGGTGGTTTGGAACCATGGAATTTTATGACTTTCCATATATTGGGAAGACTCATCCCATTTGAATTTCATATTTTTCAGAGGGCTAGGTCAACCACCAACCAGGATAGTATTCCCATGGTATTCCCAACCGGATTTTTCCGGTACCAATCCATTCATCGTTTCTGGATGAATCACTGTCGACATCCAGACATGATCCAATCAGACTGGGGATGAAATTGGCACCAAGCCACCACAGATCCCATTGGATTCTGGGTTTGCATTAAGTCTCAGGTGTGAACTTGTGATCATGTTATATAATGTTTGCTCAGACGTGGGCAATCGTACTGAAAGAGACGTGCTTGGCCTTTCGCAAAGGTGCTTGGCCTTTCGCAAAGGTGCAGAAGGTGTGCTATATTTGCTGACATCTGAATGTTTGCCGAAGTTTTGGGATGCGGGCCCATAACATCAAAGTGGATGGCGAGGATTTTTTTGCTTCGAACCTCCCAAGGGGCCGATGCAACCAACAGGTCCACGGCAGCACCTTGGCGTACCACCTTGGCACCGACGATACGACGCTGTTCGCTAAAAGCCAGAGTCTTGACGCGCGCCCATATGTGGGCTTAGCCAAGTTGGTTGTGAACCGATATAACTGGGATTTATGGTCGATATCGAAGGAGTTCGATGCGGTATCACCAAGAAACATAACTGGGGGGACTCTTCTGTATTAGTACCATCTTATAGCTCAGCTTTGGAATTTTTCCCTGGTTAAAGAATGACTGGTTGGTGGTTTGGAACTTTTTTTCCATATATTGGGAATGTCATCATCCCAACTGACTTTCATATTTTTTCAGAGGGGTAGGTCAACCACCAACCAGAAATAGATGCCCTTTTCTAGTGGATTTCGCAGCTAGCCATGTTTGATGACACCGGGGGGTACTCACATTGGATATGGTTGATTGTATATCCCACTATATCCTCCCATTAAATCACCATCATCCCGTTTCTCAGTGTCCCATGATACTCCAAGTAAAAATTGTTATATGGTGTTATTAATATCACCAATTAATTAAATCCCACTTTATCACACATACTTAGCTAAGTTGGTTTACAACTCCAATAACAAGGGTTTAAGGTCGATATTTCGATTTACTTCATGGCGGTGTTACAGCATTCTATCCCAATCTGATTGGTGGTTTGGAACATTTTTTATTTTTCCATTCAAGCTCATACTTTTCAGAGGGGTAGGTCAACCACCAAACAGTAAACCATTCCCAAATTCATCATGTGTATGGGTGGTACAAACCATCAAATCCATGGGGTGGTAAAAATATGGCATTCTTTTAACCACATTACATCAATTAGCACATTAAAAAAACGCTGCAATTTAAGGGTGACATCGCGAAAACGGCAGGCGTTGTCCTTGCCTTCAATCCTGGATGAGACCCACTCTGGTGCTGGAGGGGTTGCCGCCCCAGAGACATCGATTTTGACAATGGGATCATGGATGATGATGGATGGATTTTTCATGGGAGATTCATGCGGATGTAATTTACAGATATTTACCGTACATATATATATATATGTATATATATATATCTGGTTGGTGGATGTTGGTGGTTTGGAAGATTTGGATTATTTTTTCCATTCAGTTGGGAATGGCATAATTCCAACTGACGAACTCATATTTTTCACAGGGGTTCAAAAACCACCAACCAGTACTGTATATAATACATGTATACTGGCATTGCTTTGGATGTATAGTCAACTCTATCCAATCTTGTTACCCTCCGGTGTCAGTTTCATGGCCAGCTGGGATAATCTCCAGCGAACATAGCTAGGTTGGATGGTTGGATTGAGGGACGGACGAGGGTTTTCTCATTTGCCATCACCCAAATGCGTGGCCGAATGTGCCGCCAGGATTTATCACGATGTTATGCACTTCCCAATCAACTGGGCGTGACATGAAAAAGTATGCAGTACATGGAAAGGGCGCAGATGCAAGCATACTATGTCCTTTGGTACATATGGCTTTGTTTGAAAATGATGGATACCGGGATACCCCTGTTCTATGCAAGGGTTTCATGGGAAAAATGAAGGTAATCCATTGGAATTAGTTGTTTCCCTATTTTTTTGTGACAGACCTAAATTGTTGGTGCCGGGATTGGCACCTCGATAAAAATCATTCCCAACCAACTGAATGGCTAGTTGAATCCTTCAGTTTTTTTTCTATAAATGGAAAATAACCACAAATATCACACACAGTAAAAGAGTATTTTTGTTGTGGACCACCAAAGATTGACCATGATCAGATTATCATTTTGGTTACTTGAGATGTTGACTATTAAGATGACTAATAGTCTTGGGATTGGTTAAAACCACCCGTCCTTCATAGAACTTACCTATTTCTGGCAATATGACGGGGTCCGAAATCCCAAGAAACTCAACCAAAAATATGGAATGGCATTGAATCATCCCTTTCAAATATCCCAGTTTGGAATTACCAAATATCATATTATTCTGGATACATTTATTACCATGTAGTACCATACAATACCATGTAATACATTTAGGATACATTTACTATATATTACCATAGTATTTAGGATACACGTTTCATCCAAATATTTGCTTTTTCGTGGTCTTACATGGTATTACCGTCTCCCAAGATCTCAGTATTCGAGCATACAGTGGGCAAAACAATGTCCACCCATGACTGGGAATGGTAACCTAATCCCACCTATAAAAATGGTGATGACTGGGGGATTAATCATTTATGATCACCTATTTATACCACCTATTTATGGTGATTATTTATACCACCTATCTATAGTCTGGTTGGTGGTTTGGAACATTTGGATTATTTTTTCCATTCAGTTGGGAATGTCATCATCCCAACTGACGAACTCAGGTTTTTTTTAAAGTAGGTATACCACCAAACAGTCATGTATTTATGGCGTTGTTTTATCCACATGGAATTCTGACGTACCACCGCGATGGGCGCCACGATGGCACTGCGGCCGCGGCAGCAATTTCGGCACCGAACCATTCAGATCCAAGGCCGAAATGGCTTGCCAAGAACAACTCGATGATATTGGATTATACTGGAATGAAAAAATATGCATATATGAGAATATATGAAAACATATATGAGAATATATTTGAGAACCATGATGATATATCTTCTTGTTGGGATCCTTTGGTTTCGCGTCGTGGGTACTGCGGTGTTCGTTCGATCTGCCATGAAGAACGTGGTGTTGCTGACATTGGCAGTCCTGGCGTCCGCCGAGTGTGAAGAGGTGCATCTGCAAGGTGGTGTCCCAGTACTGAACCGCTAAGTTGGTGCCAATAACTCCAATAACTATGGTTTATGGATGTTTATGCTAGATATATCTATACTATTCCTATGGTTTATAAACCAATTTATACCTGGGGGGCACCATTTTGTGGGGGCTTTTAAGCAACAAACGTAGTGGTTTAACCAGCAAGAATGTTCAGAACTCATATGACCAACGAATTGAATGACTAATGAGCGAACTAGCTAACGAAGTAAGTAACTAATTAACCAACTAACGAACCAACCACCCAACAAACCAACAAACCAACCATCCAACAAACCAACACCAACAAACCAACCACCCAACAAACCAACAAACCAACCACCCAACAAACGAACCAACCAACCAACGTAACTAATGAATTAATTAATTAACTAACAAACTAGCAAACCAACTAAATAAATAACTAAACCAATCTAAACTAAACTAAGCTAAACTACACCAACTATCTAACTAACTAACTATCAAACTACCCTCCTATAATCAAACATGGCTATCTGGGAAACCCCCGAACTAAATGGGCATCTATATGTGGGAAAAGCATGCAACTAAATGGATGATTTCCCTGCATATGAAGGAGAGATAACTGACCAAATGCTTGGATATTCTTCGTGGTATAAACCCAAAGACAATAGCTACAATACAATGGGAAAACATAGAGGATATAAAAGCTTTGATTTTCTGTGATTTGTGGTCCAGAAAAGTGAAGATCTACATGGCCAATTTTTCACAGGGAAGATGGCTGTTTTCGGACCCCTGGTGGTTGATCTTTGGTTGGCTAACTGGCGTCACCAACTGCAAATAAGGGCAACAAAAAGCCACCTATTGCCATGATTCATGGCGAAATCCGAAAGCTTTCGATGGAACCCCTAGTCACATCCCATGATCATCCGTATGCATCCTTTTGGCATATCCCAATGTTCAATCAGTTCATATCCCACAACTCAGAGACTCAAGTTCCATCTGTCACAGTCTAGCCCTGCTGGTTGATGATTGCAGATAGTTATAGTAAGTTCTACCTAGACCCTCCAAGTACCCATTAAAATGCTGTTAGAAACTTGGATTCCTTCCTAATCTATTGGGTCATAATTTCGTAATCCATGAACTGGGAACTCTCATTGATCCAGCATCATAGATATAAGGGATCTCCCAATAGGTTTTTTTAGACTTTGCTCAGATGATCCCATTAGAAGGTTTAGCCGTTGGGTGGTAGTTGATTTGATTCCCATAATTTGTCGCGCCGTTGGCAATTTTTTGTGCCTTTGAAAATGAACCTGAAAAGAGAGAATAAGACGTTGTTTTGCTTTGTCTGAAAATAGCCCCAAAATCATCCAAAATCCACGTGTTTTCAGCAGTTGGGACTATTAAAACTGCAACTTTGGGTTACACCCCATTTTCAGACACACCCAAATTGGATCCAATTGATTAGTTGGTTATATAGTTATTACATATATATATATATACACCATTTATCCTGATTGATATCCCATCAAGTTAAAATCCGGTTAGATCCCAATATTCCATGGTTTCAGTTCACGCAATACCCCCCCCAATATACCCTCTGGCAATTTAACCTGGCTATTTGTAGGAACTGTAACTAGTCACTTTTATTGAACTAAATGGCCCATGGCTTTCATAGCTATGTCAGTTTATTCGAGGTACTGTAGCATATAAGGCCATATTTCGTGGGGATATTCCCTTACATAGGCCTTATATAGGCCTTATATATGGTAGGTACCTCCAATTTAGGATCCTGGAATGGCCATTGATATATCCATTAATTATTCATCATTTATCCATTCTTGTTGGTTATACCCCCATTATTATCCATTAAACCCCATTTACCATTTCCAAAACATGATTAATCATTAAGAATTATTAAGCATCAAGAACTTCATTGTGAACCACAACCATAGGTGATACCCTCTGGTAATTTGTTACATAGGTATTGAAAATGGCCATAGAAATAGTGAGATTTCCCATGAAAAATGGTGATTTTCCATAGTTATGTAAACGTTTACCACAGGGTAATCACATTAAATCCCATTGTAATCCCATACAATCCCATTAGACTTCCATTACAGTCCCATTATAATTCCTTTACAATTCCATAAAATCCCCTCAAAAATCCCATAAAAATTCTATTAAGATCCCATAAAAACCCATTCTCAACGAGTTCGGCGAGTTTTCTTCGACCCAACGCAGCGCCACGTTGCGGCACCAGGCGTCCTTGGTACAAAGACCTCGCCTCCACAGGGTGATTCGGCTGATGTGGGTTGTGTCCAGGATCATCCCACGGTCCCACGGTTGAGGTGGATAAGCCAATTTGTTGTAAGTCATCAGTGGGGTTGTCATATATATATATATGATTATATATATATATATATTAGACATAAACATATGTATATATATATATTAGACATAAACATATGTATATATATATATGTATATATTCATAAATATATATTCATAAATATATATATAAATGTATACATAAGCATATATATATACATAAACATATGTACATACATAAATGTATATATATATATATATACATAAACATATATATACATCAACATATATGTATATATATACATAAACACACATATATATATATATACATAAATATATGTATATATATATACCCATAAACATTTATATATATATATAAACATATATATATATATATATTTACAAAATATAAATATATATATACATGATATATATGACTTGCAAGTATGGCTCTTAAGATCTTTTGTTTCCAGTTGAAAAATGGATGAAAACCAATGAACACCTATAACTTTCATGGAGTTCCCCCAATGGGCTGGTGCTCAATCTGTCCAGGTGCGGAATCACTCCATGCCACGGTCCTCTGTCCTGTTCACTAAGGAACAGGCACGGGCGCCGACGGGACGTTGGCGTTTGTTGTGGCTTTCGGTGAAAGAACTTTGATCTGTTAAACATGAAGAAACGATAATAAGTATAGGGTTTATGGTGATTATAGGTGATTATAGGTCATTATAGCTATAGCAGCTATAGTTCAATGGGATAATTATAAACTGGTCTAGCTTCACCCCCCCCCAAAAAAAATGGTTGATACAGCTACCGTAAACCAGAGAATTCACCTGGAAGTTCAACGAAAACTTCGATATCTGGCCATGCTCACCTGGTGATTTTTTGTCATTTGGCCATGGAACATCGCCAGTTTCAATCAGTAATCGACAAAATTTTATATCATGTTCTATGATTATTATGTTGCAACATTTCAATGCCAAAAAGGTAAAAACTATTGACATTTTAGTATATAGTTAACCATATATCATATATCCATGCCTCATGTTAAATTGAAATTTCAGCACCGGGGACTCAACCCCAGTGTCGACTACCAGATACTGGGGAAGTTCATGATATAGGAGGTGTCAAAGATGCGCCATTTGTCCCAGAACCAGAACCTCATCTGCGATCACGAGCTTTTTGTGGGTCAATAAAGGGCAGAACCTTTTTAATTCTACATCTACATGCCCACTAATGTTGGAAGATTTGATGCTGATTGATTTGGATTAGCACTTGTTGTCATCATGTCACCTGCAGCAACCATCTTGGACAATCGGACCTGGCATGCCAAGGAGCTTCAACCTCTGCTGGGTCAAAACTTCCTGATGTTTGATGCAGATTGGTCAAGTCAGAAGTTGAAAATTTGAAATCGGAAAAACGCGCAAGTACTGAATGCAGATTTTTCTGAACCAGCCAACTTTGGGATGTAGCCTTTTTTTCCCCAATCGGCATGAAGTCTCATCGAATCCCATTTGATCCCAAAATAAACGAGCTGGAAGATGATTTATATATTGGCAACTGCCGTGGATTCCATGTTTACTTCTCAAGGGTTGTTTCCATCCTATAGGAGTGCCTGGTGGGTGGTTTCAATCATCTATCTCTATATATATATATATACCGTATGTTAATAATATCATTAATATCTGACAAAGATTCCGTCATTCAATGTGTCCAACCAGATCGTAGTCATGGGTTTTGACTGGTCTGACTGCCAACTAGCCTTGCCACATCGACAAGGGGAGAAAGGCTGCCCAGAAGAGTCCTTGCCTTTCTGACTTGACCGCCTTGACATAGATGTTCGAGATTGTATAATGTTATACCCTCTGGTAATTTAACATAGCTATTGAAAATGGCCATTTATAGTGGATTTACCCATTAAAAATGGTGATTTTCCATAGTTACGTTAGTTTACCAGAGGGTATGTGTTGTTTTATTCCTACCTGGGAGGATGTTCCCTAATGTCTGAGCCTTTGCCCCAGGCACATCGAGCGATGGAAAAGCACAAAAAGGTGTTGACAAGAAGCGGCAAGAAGCCCCTTGGTGTTGGAGCCGGCGATAACATCAAACCTGGCTTGCTGGAACATCATGAATACTTCGATGAGTTTCCCAGAAACCTCTGCTATTTTCTGGCCACATTTGAGTACCAGAGGGTAATTGAGGCTATGTAGGCAGTGACCAAAAAACTTGTTCATTTCTGGTTGGTGGTTTCAAACATTTTTTATTTTCCACAATATATTAGGAATAATCATCCCAACTGACTAATGTTATTGAAGATGGTTAAAACCACCAACCAGATTTGTTATAATGTGTTATCGTAGGGGTTTGGATCAGCGTATCAGCTTACTGGAGGTTATGAACCATTACGGGAAGCCCTACCCAACTCAGCAGTATGTAACAAATACATTATATATAATATATATATATATATATATTTTAAGGGCTGACGCCCCTCGTCGGCTCCGCCGGATTTCTCGACCCTCCATTTCATCGCAGTGTGGGCTTGAAAGCTTTTGGATGGGGACCTGCTTCAGAAATATAGTCCTTATGTTGTTTGAAAAAAGTTCATCGAATAGGAACTTTGTTGGAAATAAAATAGACGGCTTTTTTGGGGAGCAAGTGAGTTCCCGAAAGCTCCTGCCAAGGGTTTTTCCCGAAGAACTGCTGCCAATTTCAACTTGTTACTTCGTGTAAAGGCGCCTCTGTGCAAAGACTTCTCTGTGTAAAAGCTTTTGTGTGTAAAAGTTTCTGTGTGTAAAAACCACTTTGTGTAAAGACTTCTTTGTGTAAAAGCTTCTGTGTGTGAAAGCTTCTCTGTGTGAAACGTCTGTCTAAAGATTTCACTGTGTGTAAAAGCTTCCGTGTGTAAAAACTTTCTGTGTAAAGTGTAAAGGCTTCTCTGTGTAAAAGCTTCTGTGTGTAAACGCGTCTGTGTGTGAAAGCTATATATCTGTGTAGAGACTTCTTTGTGTAACAGCTTCTGTGTGTAAAGGCTCCTAGACGTTTGTGTGCAAAAGCTCCTTAGTCTAAAGACTTCTCTGTGTAAAACCTTCTGTGTGTAAAAAGCTCCTTTGTGTAAAGACTTCTCTGTGTAAAAGCCCCTGTGTGTGTAAATGCTTTTGTGTGTAAAAGCTCCTCTGTGTAAAGGCTTCTCTGTGTAAAAGCTTCTGTGTGCAAACGCGTCTGTGTGTAAAAACTCAATCTGTCAGGCCTTCTTCGTGTAAAAAGTTCTGTGTGAAAAAGCTCCTAGACGTTTGTGTGCAAAAGCTCCTTAGAGTAAAGACTTCTCTGTGTAAAACCTTCTGTGTGTAATAAGCTCCTTTGTGTAAGGACTTCTCTGTGTAAAAGCCCCTGTGTGTGTAAAAGCTTGCTGTGTGCAAATGCTTTTGTGTGTAAAAGCTCCTCTGTGTAAAGGCTTCTCTGTGTAAAAGCTTCTGTGTGCAAACGCGTCTGTGTGTAAAAACTCTCTCTGTCAGGCCTTCTTCGTGTAAAAAGTTCTGTGTGAAAAAGCTCCTAGACGTTTGTGTGCAAAAGCTCCTTGGAGTAAAGACTTCTCTGTGTAAAACCTTCTGTGTGTAAAAAGCTCCTTTGTGTAAGGACTTCTCTGTGTAAAAGCCCCTGTGTGTGTAAAAGCTTGCTGTGTGTAAATGCTTTTGTGTGTAAAAGCTCCTCTGTGTAAAGGCTTCTCTGTGTAAAAGCTTCTGTGTGCAAACGCGTCTGTGTGTAAAAACTCTCTCTGTCAGGCCTTCTTCGTGTAAAAAGTTCTGTGTGAAAAAGCTCCTAGACGTTTGTGTGCAAAAGCTCCTTAGAGTAAAGACTTCTCTGTGTAAAACCTTCTGTGTGTAAAAAGCTCCTTTGTGTAAGGACTTCTCTGTGTAAAAGCCCCTGTGTGTGTAAAAGCTTGCTGTGTGTAAATGCTTTTGTGTGTAAAAGCTCCTTTGTGTGAAGGCTTCTCTGTGTAAAAGCTTCTGTGTGCAAACGCGTCTGTGTGTAAAAAGCCTTCTGTGTAAAGGCTCCTAGATGTTTGTGTGCAAAAGCTCCTTAGAGTAAAGACTTCTCTGTGTAAAACCTTCTGTGTGTAAAAAGCTCCTTTGTGTAAAGACTTCTCTGTGTAAAAGCCCCTGTATGTGTAAAAGCTTCTGTGCGACTCCTCCATCCAGCTTTCTTTCGGGTCACGCTGTCGTCCAGTTTCAATCTGCAACATTGTTTCTTGTGGAAGAATGCAAAGAACAGGTGAAAGCATCGCAGGTTAAAAAATTGAACATAAACAGGGCACAGAGTGCTGTAATTTACAACATTTTGCGCTGTCAGATGGCAAGAACCCGCGTAAATACCACAGTTTTAGTCCCCGAAAGTGGCTAAAACACTGTTATTTGCAGGGTTTCGTTCACGTCACGATCTTCGATTTTTTGAAAAACGCGTAAATACCAGCGTTTTTTGCGTTCATCAAGGAAAAAAATCGGTTCAGAAAGGGAAGAAAATGCTGTAATTTACAGGGGTTTGGCGCCGCCACGGGCAAAAAACTGCGTAAATACCAGCGTTTCGGCGTCCAAAAGTTGCCAAAACACCGCTATTTACAGTGTTTCGTGCCTTCCACGTTTGCTTGAAATTGCAGAAACATTGTAAATACCAGCATTTTTTGCGATCAACCCGCCAAAAATGCTGTAATTTACAATGTTTTTTTGCTTGGCTGTCAAAAACAATGGTATTTGCAGTGTTTTGTGCATCTCGGGTCCAAAAAGCATTGGTATTTACAGCATTTTCTGCGTTTTTGCATGGCTCCCGCAAAAGACGTTAAAACGCAAAAATGGTGTAATTTACAGCATTTTGTGACTTCCGAAAAGCGAAAAATCGTCCGAAAAATGTGTCAAAACGGCGCTTTTTTCCGATTTTAGGTACCCTCAAAACGGGGGGGGGCGGGATTATGCTCTTGGAGACGCTTATGAGCGACCCGGATTCCGTCCAAAAAGCTCTCCCCCACCCTCCTGAAGGATTTTTGGCGTTTTTCGGGGCCCGGCGTCGGAGGGTCGGCGGCTTGGGGCGCGCCTTACCTTAGAGCTCTAGTCGCTCTGGGACGCTCGTAGGGCAACTACACGGGGAGCCGGCGGAGCCGAATTTTTGGGCTGACGCCCCTCGTCGGCTCCGCCGGACCACTCGGCCCTCCATTTCATCGCAGTGTGGGCGTGAAAGTTACTGAATGAGGACCTGCTTCAGAAATATATTCCTTAGGTTTTTTGGAACATATTTGTTGGAATAGACGATTTTTTGGGGAGCAAGTGAGTTCCCGAAAGCTCCTGCGAAGGGTTTTTCCTAAAGAACTGCTGCCGATTTCAACTTGTTACTTCGTGTAAAGGCGCCTCTGTGCAAAGACTTCTCTGTGTAAAAGCTTTTGTGTGTAAGAGTTTCTGTGTGTAAAAACCACTTTGTGTAAAGACTTTTTTGTGTAAAAGCTTCTCTGTGTGAAAGCACGTCTTTGTAAAGATTTCTCTGTGTGTAAAAGCTTCCGTGTGTAAAAACTCTCTGTGTAAAGGCTACTTCTCTGTGTAAAAGTTTCTGTGTGTAAACGCGTCTGTGTGTTAAAGCTCTCTGTGTAAAGACTTCTTTGTGTAACAGCTTTTGTGTGTAAAAGCTCCAAGACGTTTGTGTGAAAAAGCTCCTCAGAGGAAAGACTTCTCTGTGTAAAACCTTCTGTGTGTAAAAAGCTACTCTGTGTAAATGTGTAAAAGCCCCTGCGTGTGTAAAAGCTTGCTGTGTGTAAACGCTTTGGTGTGTAAACGCTTTGGTGTGTAAACGCTCCTCTGTGTAAAGGCTTCTCTGTGTAAAAGCTTCTGTGTGCAAACGCGTCTGTGTGTAAAAAGCCCTCTGTGTAAAGACTTCTTCGTGTAAAAACTTCTGTGAGTTAAAGCTCCTAGACGTTTGTCTGCAAAAGCACCTTAGAGTAAAGACTTCTCTGTGTAAAACCTTCTGTATGTAAAAAGCTCCTTTGTGTAAAGACTTCTCTGTGTAAAAGCCCCTGTGTGTGTGGGTAAAAGCTTCTGTGCGTCTCCTCCCTCCAGCTTTCTTTCGGGTCACGCTGTCGTCCAGTTTCAATCTGCAACGTTGTTTCTTGTGGAAGAGTGCAAAATAATGCAAAGAACATGTGAAAGCATCGCACGTTTAAAAATTGAACATAAACAGCGCACAAAGTGCTGTAATTTACAGCATTTTGCGCTGTCAGATGGCAAGAACCCGCGTAAATACCACAGTTTTAGTCCCCCAAAGTGGCTAAAACACTGTTATTTACAGGGTTTCGTTCACGTCACGATCTTCGATTTTTTGGGAAACGCGTAAATACCAGCGTTTTTTGCGTTCATCAAGGCAAAACATCGGTTCAAAAAGTGCAAAAAATGCTGTAATTTACAGGGGTTTGGCGCCGTCACGGGCAAAAAACTGTGTAAATACCAGCGTTTCAGCGCCCAAAAGTGGCTAAAACACCGCTATTTACAGTGTTTCGTGCCTTCCACGTTTTCTTGAAATTGCAAAAACACTGTGAATACCAGCATTTTTTGCGATCAACCCGCCAAAAATGCTGTAATTTACAGTGTTTTTTTGCTTGGCTTTCAAAAACACTGGTATTTGCGGTGTTTTGTGCATCTCCGGTCTAAAAAGTATTGGTATTTACAGCATTTTCTGCTTTTTTGCATTGCTCCCGCAAAAGACGTCAAAACGCAAAAATGCTGTAATTTACAGCATTTTGTGACTTTCGAAAAGCGAAAATCGTCCGAAAAATGTGTCAAAACGGCACTTTTTTCCGATTTTAGGTACCCTCAAAACGGGGGGGGGGGAATGCTCTTGGAGACGCTGATGAGCGACCCGGATTCCGTCCAAAAAGCTTGCCCCCACCCTCCTGAAGGATTTTTGGTGTTTTTCGGGGCCTGGCGTCGGAGGGTCGGCGGCTTGGGGCGCGCCTCACCTTAGAGCTCTAGTCGCTCTGGGACGCTCGTAGGGCAAGCCACTCGTGGGGAGCCGGCGGAGCCGAATTAAATTAAGGGGCTA